GCATAGGTTTTTTTAAAGGCTTTCAATGGTACAAAACAATGGGAAATGGATTATGGAAACCATAATGATTTCATAAAATTACTGAACTTAACTGTTTATAAAATGTATATTTAAGAAAAAGGTTTTTTCAATGATGGCTCTGGATTTAAGTTCATAATGCAATTCTCAAGTGAGCAATAAAAATACTGCAGTAAACCAGAATAAGAACAAACCAGTGATGCAAAATTAGTGTGTTAATTTCTGGAACACAAACCAGGTATTTGGTATAATTTAAGGACATCCATATAGAGCCTGTTTCTGAATACCCACTTAATATACTAAGTTGATACTGAAGGTGAGTAGGCTATTAATTATTGCTACTTCGCATATTTTAGTGTTACTAATGCCTTTTAGAACTGAATAGCAGCACACACACACAAGATTACAGAAAAACAAGGTCAGTGATGAACTCATTTCTAGACCCTATGCTGACAATGAAGAGAGTTCAAATCTACTGTTGGAATAGAAGTTTACATTCCATTCTAATTGTTTCCAAAAGAAAATATTACAGAATGGCATTCAAGGCAGCTTGCAAACTTCTGTGGCAGGCTTATAGAAACAAACAAAAAAAAAAATCAAGAGAAAGACAAGTTATTTGAATTATATGGATAAAGACAACATACATTTTTTTAAAAAGTAACAGTCAAACAATTAACTTTGTAGAGCTATCTTTAGTGCACAGGACATTTTCCAATTGCTGCACGATTGCCCAGTGTTCAGCAGCTCTCTGCCATCTTATTACAAAGCAATGGTTAAGGAGACGTGCCATTGCATAAGGCAGGGGTTCTCAACCTTGGCAACTTTAAGACTTGTGGACTTCAACTCCCAGAATTCCTCAGCCAGCAAAGCTTGTGGACTTGAAGTCCACAAGTCTTAAAGTTGCCAAGGTTGAGAACCCTTGGCATAAGGCTTCTAGGACAGAGGGCCATGTTATCTTTTAGCAGTTAGGAATAGCTCTCAACATTTTTTAGAGGTTAGTTTCCTTATCTTCTTTTGAAAGGGTCTTTTTCTTGTTCTTTTTTTTAAAGTCATTCATACAATTTACTCTACACTTTCCCAAATGTGAAATTTATGCCAATTTTTTGCAATGGTGCTCAGAAGGGGGAAGGGGGAGAAGCATAAAACAAGGGGTTATTGGCAACCTGGGAGCTGCAAGTTGTCCATCTTTGCCTAAAACTGAAACTCAGTGTGTTTTTTTTTCCTGTGGTTTATTAACTCTAAGGTGTAAATCCATAAATTGAATTATGTTTCAGATACATCTAGGTATGGCTAAAGTGCTAGTCCAGAGTTACTATTTCAATTTTGGGAGATGATTTCAAATATACCAATGACTATGGGGTCATTGTTTACAAATTTATATAAGCCGGAACCATTGTCATAAGTCCTTGACAGAACTTTCTACATTAAATGAATTTGTAGATGAAATCTTTCCTAGCTGAAATTATGCTTTGGATTACAGGAGGCCTTTGTTTTGTTTTGCTAAAGAAATAGAGAATGTTGTTGTAAAAACAAATGGAATAACTGAATTAGAGACTATCACAAATTCATACATGCTGTATAAGCCTAACAAAGGTGCAAAGCTGTAATGTAAAATAACTTCCTTACTGTGGAAGATGGTTATATCCTAATTACTCAGCAATTAATATAAATTTCATTTGTATTTTACACAGCCAACACTAAAAAAAAAAAGCTGAAAGAATTCAGTGCAAGGTCATAGCGTTTACAAATGTATAAACAATGACTTGAGGACAAGGTTTGGATATATGTTTCTTTTTACATTTCAGTGCTACAATGGAATATACCATGAGAAGGCATTCTAAAATATATATATAATCAACATCCGAATAGGTTAAATAATCTGAAAATGTGATGCACAATGGAGTGTAACTCAAAACATTAAACATGCTTTGACAATATGTAGATATATAATTGTGGTAGCCCTTATTCTAAAAATAGGCTCTATTCCATGAATGTCTGAAAGAAACTGGGAAGTGTAAATATAGTATAGATTTAAAAGCAGATTAACCGCTTGATTTGATGCCATGTATTCAATCATTAACTGGACTTACAATATATGGAGGAATCTCAGTCTTCAAAGTAATGGTAAGTTTTAAGTGGATTTTTAGTTAATGATTTCTGGTATTAAGAATTGAATTGTTGTAGGATAGGCTTTATGGGTATAGGCAGTATTTAAGTTAGATTTGGAAAAAATATGAATGCAGAAATTTGCCATCAATAACTAGCCTTCAAAATCCAGAAAGGATACAAGAAATTTTATCTGCAACGTAAAAGCTAAAGCATGGTTTTATATGTATAACCCTCATGAGTGATCTTAGAAGGTGTGTTATCTTCAATTCCTTTCCTTATCTTAGTGTTTTGGATTTAGAAGTTAGTAAAGCCCTTTTAGTTTCAACTTTGGGCAGTAATGCTCATGGTAGAAGCAATCTGTGACAAGGCAACAGGGGTGTTCATGGGAAGAATTTTATCTTTTGATCAAGACATATTCAAAGATAATTCTAAATGTACTAAATAATTTTACAACATAAAATTAAGATAGAGAGCCACTTGGTGTAGTGGATAAGACATCAGGCTTACAACTGGGTGACATTAAGTTCTAGTCACACACTCTCTCTCAGCCCTAGGAAGCAGGCAACAGCAAACCCCTTCTGTAAATCTTGCTAAGAAAATGGCAGGGATTTGTCCAGATCACCAGGAGTAAAAAAACTACTTGAAAAGAAGGAGAAGGGGAAAAAAGCAATGAGGTATAGAAAGCACTAGAATCTTGAAATACATTTTCAATTTTATACATCAAAAAAGATCATGTTAGCAAATAAAAATGTATAAGTAACAAAGGATGGCTAAGTTTATTTATTGCTTGTTAATTTCAGGAATCCCCTAGTATAAATTGAAAAGAGCAAGCTACTTCTATCCTGGAGCTGTGAAGTTTTGGCACCTCAATAGAAAATGCTCCTTCTCAGGAAATTCTCCACAGTATGACATTTGGTAGACTTTTCAGAAATAAGGGTTTTAAACATGAGTAGGCAGTGCAACAGGCAGGCTTATTAGAGATACAGTAAAGAAATATTTGGCATGATGGGAATAATATTAGGGATTCATTGAAATCTTGCAGAATGATTAGGGGACTGGAGGCTAAAACATAAGAAATGGTTGCTGGAATTGGGTATGTCTAGTTTAATGAAGAGAAGGATGAGGGCAGACATGATAGCAGTGTTCCAATATCTCAAGGGCTGCCACAAAGAAAAGGGAGTCAAGCTATTTTCCAAAGCGCCTGAGCACAGGACAAGAAGTAACGGATGGAAAATAACCAAGGAGAGAAGCAATCTAGAACTAAGAAGAAACTTCTTGATAGAACAATTAACCAGTGGAACAACCTTCCTCCAGAAGTGGTGAATGCTCCAACACTGGAAATTTTTAAGAAGAGACTGGACAGCCATTTATCCAAAATGGTATAGGGTTACCTGCCTGAACGGAGGTTGGATTTGATGACCTCCAAGGTCCCTTCCAACTTTATTATATTATTATTATTATTTAGCATAAGATCTTACTAATCTGACAATAGTTCTCATTAACTACTCAAAAGATCCTCCTAAAGTCTCATAAGAATTTGATGGTTATTTACTGGTTATCTGTTCCACTGTGCAGGATTATGTAGCAATATGCAAGCATGCAAAAGGATGCCAAACCTGAATTAAAAATTCAGAGCAATTCCTATAAAGAAAGGACATTCTAGATAAACTGGTCCAGATCATTTATAACTATCTGGAAAACAAGTAGACTTCAATGTCATTATTATAAAATCTGCAGTATACACTACATAACCCAAGCTTCCTATCTGTAAGAATTCTGCCATGTGTAAAATATGTTATAATAATTTTAGCATGGATGATTTAAAAAGTAAATCATGCTAGGTTAGGGTGAAACTATTTAAGGAGTAGCAACTATCAAACCAATTGCTTTCATTGTATGCATGCTTTCATGGGCCATAAGACCATTCTGTTATGTAGTTGGGGAGAAAGATTATGAAGTGTACATTGCCAGATATTGTCATTCTGCACAATAATTTGCTTGCAATGATATGTCAATATTGCCTACAGATTTTCTATAATTCCATAGTTAATTATTGTTTATATTAACCCACAAGAGGGACATTATAATTTTTCTGAAATTAACTAAATTTAAACCAAGAAATTTGGTTCAACAGGCTAATGTGAAAGTTAATTTTATCTCAGAACTGGGGTGAATATTAGATTTATGTAAACTCTAGGAAAGGGACTATAAAATCATACTTCAACCTGATGTTCACTAATACATTTGAACACAAGTGTCTTAATCTAAAGCCCGCTTGAAATTCATCTCTCTATATTATCCAGTACAGGAACTGGGACTATAGCATCGTCCCCTGAAGCATTATGATATTCTGAGATTAATGACAGTTGCTTTTTTTAAAACTATCCTTGGATAAATTCCTTGAAGTAAGTTCTTTCTTGAAACTATTAAAATCATTAATACAATCAGTAACAGAAGGGTTCAATCAAGATCATGTGAGGTACTAATACCACTCCAGTAAGACACCTAGAATACTGCAACCAGTTTTGGTCTCCACACTATAAAAAAGATGCCGAGACTCTAGAAAAAGTGAAGAGAAGAGCAACAAAGATAATTAGGGGACTGGAGGCTAAAATTTATGAATTTTATAGGAAATGGGCATGGCTAGTCTAGTGAAAAGAAAGATTAGGGGAGACTAGCGGTGTTCCAATATTTGAGAGTCTGTCACAGAGAGGAGGGGGTCAACCTATTTTCCAAAGCACCTGAAGGCCAGACAGGGAATAACGGATAGAAACTGATCAAGGAGAGATTCAACCTGGAAATAAGGAGAAATGTTCTGGCAGTGAGAACAATCAACCAATGGAACAGACTGCCTTCAGATGTTGTGGGTGCTTCATCACTGGAGGCTTTCAAGAAGAGACTGGACTGCCATCTGTCAGAAATGGTGTAGGGACTCCTGCTTGGGCAGGGGGTTGGACTAGATGACCTACAAGGTCCCTTCCGACTCTGTTATTCTATTCAAATTTGAGTTAACTTTTGTTTTTACAGCATGACTTAATCAACACTGGATTCTTCAAATATTAACAAAAAAAAAGCTTTTGATGCTGTTGTTACTGCTGATGAGGGTCAATAAAGACTTTTTAAAATTAAGCTTATTAAGTTCAACATTAATCAAACTAAAGTAATATCTGCTTTAATGTAAGTTTTTTTTAACACGCTCCTTACAGTCATAGTGTGAAAATGGTTCCTTATTATATTAGTACTAGTGGCTTGGTCTTGGACATTGGTCTTTAACTCAGAAAGTTCTCCCTTGTAATTATGTGTGCAAGATAGGTATACACTGTGAGAAAAAGCCTTGGCAAAGTCTCATCAAAATTTGTTTTTTTAGTATCCATTATGTCTATTTATTAAATAATTTCTTTTGCTTTGCATACTTCTAGGACAGCCAAAACTATACTGATCACATCCTAAATCTCAGAGCAATCAGACCTTGGAGAGGATTATTTTCTCTTTCTAACTCCCTACCTGTCAGGCCAAATAAAGCAATGGGACTTGACAGCTCTGGTTTCAAACTTAATTCATCATTAGGAAATTATTCAAAAAACTATAACGAGATAACTAATTTAATACAATTTGCTTCAAGGTTTATTCCTTGGCCAGCTTCCCAGATACAAAGCGTCTCTGTTCAATTATCACGCAGATGCCACTAAAAGACTTTAAATGGTTTCAGCTAATTTAACAAGAGATATGTTGGCATTGGCAAAGATATGCTGGACTGGAAACTGCACATAAAGAAATAAGAGTCTCTAAAGGAGCATCAACAGAAGATGTTCTCTATATATTCTTTTCCCACATTGAAGGAAGCTTGAATTCTGTCTTTTTCTTAGCAAGACTGGGGTGAAGTACAATTGATCGGTGATTTAGACTTAACATGTGAAGATAGGGAAATAAGTTAAATCTATCCATATATATTTAGAAGTAAATCCTTCTGAGATCAATATGCTCCCAGGAACATATAGACAAGTCTGCAGGCTTAATCCCTACAAGTAACCTTGCAGATTTTTAAAAAATGAAAGTATATATCACACTATGTAAAATATAGTACAAGTAGTCCTCGGCTTACAGCCATTTGTGTCAGGTGCAAGAAATTAGGAGTCAAGGTGGTTCAAATGACTGCAGGTTTATTGCATGCTAATGCTCTCTACAAGAATCTGAACTACTAATGGTCAAAGCAAATTGGCAGTAGATAAGAGTCAACGGAATTCAAAGAAGACTGGACTTAGATCTCTTGTGGCTGCAAAGGAAACTCCCTCTTCCCTCAGTCTGCTCATCTCCTACAATTCATTTAGTGACCATTTCAAGTTACAATGACACTGAAAACAGTGACTTATGACAGTTTTCCACACTTACAACTGCTGTAGCATTCCCCACTGTCATGTGATCAAAATCTGGGCGCTTGGCAACTGGCAGGTTTTTATGACGGTTGCACTGTTCTGGAGTTATGTGATCACCGTTTGTAACCTTCCCAGCCGGCTCCCAACAAGCAATGGGGATAGCCAGATTCACTTAATAACTGCATGATTCACTTAACAACTGCAATGGTTCACTAAGCAACTGTGGCAAAAAAGGTTTAAGATGAAGTGCAACTCACTTAATAACTGCCTATGGCTGTAAGTCAAGGATTACCTGTATAATATAGATAGAAATAAAATGCAGGTGTCAAACATTATTTTAAGAGACATTTTCCCCATCTAATGTACAATGGGAATGCCTCTTCTATTCAAGAAACTGCCTGCCATGTCACTTTGGATGTTTATCTAAAAGAAAGTGTGCTGTAGAAAGTGTGACTGGTGCTCTGATATTCTTTTTATGTATATTCAACTTTAATCTATAGTTTATTCACAAAAATAACGTCATATCTTTTTAAAAAAAATCCCTATTATTCTTACATGTGGGATTGGTTAAAAAACTTGAATCTGGCTTAGTTCCACAAAGTCTGTAACCCGTCCTACCCATATCAGCTTTAACACTCTTGTCTAATTTAGAAATTGGGAGGGGGGAGGAATTAAAAGTATTTTTTTAAAAAGCAACACAGGATTATTGTTTATTAAAACTGGCTATGATAGTCAGATGGATGTTTTGATGGGCAAATCATATTGTTCTGTAGGAGGAGAAATAATTTGAATCAGGACCTTGGAGAGCAACAGCAAATCAGAGTGGACACAGCTGAGAAAAATGGGCCAATGATTATGTACCATCAAGTCACTGTCAATTCCTAGCGACAACATAGATTTTGTCCATGACAATCTGTTCCTAACCTGATTTTTGAGGGGCAATAAACCAACAGTCTAATCCAACAAAGTTATTATATTATGTGGAGACGATTAAAAATTATTTGTGAATCCAAGGGATGGATTGCTGACATACAACAAAGCCTGTAGACACTTAGGACACAAAGTGTCTAAAACCCCTACAGGGGTTTTAGAACCTAAAGACACTTAGGGCACATATCCAAACCATTAGAACAGTGTTTCTCAACCTTGACAATTTTAAGGCATGTGGACTTCAACTCCCAGAATTCCACAGCCAGCGATGTGGAATTCTGGGAGTTGAAGTCCACATGCCTTAAAATTGTCAAGGTTGAGAAACACTGCATTAGAATATTCTCTTTGGCAAACAATACTAAATCAGTAACAGTCGGCATTTCCTATTCATTTAAATTGATGTTTTTAAAACATTTTGAACTGTCATGTCCTTATACCTGTTGTCCTAGGCTAAAGGTAGTAATTGACTTATTAGAATTAACCTCAAAATCTATATGCATGTTACCTAGTAAGATTTCTAAAAAGAGCTATACAACCCTTCCCCATATATACGCTCCTTTAGAAGGAGAGAGACTAGAAAGGAAGTCACAGAAAGGGTGACTCTACAACTTTCAGCATGCACCAACAGAATATTCCCACCAAAATATGGCCACCAACAGAAAAAAAATCTTCAGATTTACTCTGTATGATTCAAAGAATAACCTGACTTGAAAAACGCCCCTGAACTGGGTATTTCACATCATGTGCAGGGCAATTTCTAGACTCAAGATACAGCATCAACTGTAGGACTTAGGATTGATTAGATCTTGCTCGGACCCTAAAAAAGCCTCTTAGAATAGATCTCATTCCAGTATTTCAGCTATTTTATAGCTTTAAATATTGCTATTACTCATCATCTAGGTACTATGATCATACTTGTTTTGTACTGAACCCTTGGGATCTTGAGTTTATTGGAAATCCCACTGCTATTCTGTAAGGCACTGCATATATCATAGAGGGCAAAAATGTGTTCCTTTTCAATAATATTATAGACATATATCTGCTTTTAAATTTGAACAAAAGTCAAAAATACATTTTTAAGTTGGTTTTTCTTCTATGTGCACAACCCTGAAAACAGATTGCTAAATACTCTTTTCACAAAAATAAAATAGAATACAATAAAATAGCAAAGCTGCCTTGCATGTCATATAGAAATGCAATGGTCAAGAGAACATCTCCAGATAGGATTATTTCCTGTCCTAAAGACAGATTACAATGAAGAGATGTGTCAAATGTGGTTCTATCATTTTAAGGTCACCCCATGTTCCACCAATTAAGAAAGTTCACACATCATTAAAAAAAATAAATTATCTCATATAAAATCATCTGCAAGAAGAACAAAGTGTCCTTATCATTGAGGCAATTTTGATCAGGTGTCGCAAAATACTGCAAAGCAAGAAGCTTTGTAGAAGGGTGATTCTCAGCCAAACCAAAATGGCTGTCTAAATAACTGAATGAAAAGGTGCTGTGTCTCTTTTGAAGATGTTAAATGAGCCTGGAATTTTGTAGAAATAAGATGAGGACTTGGTAGACAAATTTATACTGTGCGATAGTTTGGATCATGAACATTCTCTGTTCCCTCAGATGTTGAAGCATCACTGGAACGTCTACTTTCTGCAAAGAGGAAGAGAACATTCATAACAATATTTTCATTGTAGAGCTAAACAAAATAATGTAGAATTCATGCAACTGTTGCATTTGCTTTCTTCAAATCACTCTTTTTAATTCTTACTCTGCACCATTAAATTCCATTGCTATATTAGTTAATGGCTTTCTTTTTTTTCTGGGAATCATAACAGTAGGAGAAATATAAATACAGAAGAACAACTAAGTCCAGGTTTGCATACCAACTTGGGAAGTATCAACCTAAAATTAAACTGGACAACAGTCTTCTTCCCTGTGAATTAGAGATCCATTTAGTTTCATTTCTCTTGTGCTCTAAATTGTATCAGACACATGCTTCTTTATTCATGGGAAGAGTTTTCATGTGAAAAAAACCCAAGAAGAGTGAATTGTTGATATAATAGGAGATTATTAGCAAATATTTGTTCTAGAGCAGACATATCAAACTCGCGACGTCATGTGACATCCCACAACATATTGGAGCTTTTCCCCATTGCTGGCAATGGGGTGGGCACGTTTTCTTCGTGACGCGTCCTACCTGCGGGCCGGCAGTTTACCACCCCTGTTCTAGAGGATTGTTATCTGTGTCATAGCAAGAAAAGAAGTGATTCAACTCATATTCTGCAACTAGTATAATTCCAATAATTAACTATCCTCAGAATGGCCATTCTGATTTTTTAAAATGTGTCAGTTAAGTCCAAAAAGACATCTAAAGACAATTTATTAGAATGATGCTTAATAAGATATATTTAGAACTCATGGCCTCATACCGCTAGTGAGACAAATATAGGAAGAAGACTGCAAAAGCTAAGAGGTGCTGGTAGCCCTTGCACAGTGGGTTCTATGCAGCACAACAGAAATGAATACATAAAGATGCTTTAGAATATTTTATTTACTGTACTGTTTTACTTTAATAAATAGTGTGTGAACACCAGAACATAAACATCCCATGAAAAAACAAACATGTCTCAAAACAAAAGTGATTACCTAGCGATGGAGATATGACTCACAGGCTATCAAAACTGAGATGAGAACAAGGCAGAGATTTTGAATGGGGGAAAAAAATAGGGGAAGCCATAAATATGATAGTAAATAAAACTGGCCATTATCTTTATGTGAAAAGAATTAAGAGAATAGTATGATTAGTTAGAAAGGCATATTTGTTATGTTGAAACAAGCACTTCTCATTCTAAACAATCATCCAGTAGAGAACTATACAAGATGACTCTTTAGTCTCACTTTAGGTCAGTATTGATCCCAGTAGATCTCTCCAACTATTATCAAGCATTCATTTATTAATTTAAATATTTGCTCAATGATTCAATTCATATTTGCCCATTGTTGTCTAAGAAAAATAACCAAGCTGGCTTCAGTGTGGTCCTACCACTGTACATCTTTCAGCATGCTCTTCAAGCTATCATTTACCATTCCAAACAGCCCTTCCTTTTCAAGGTAATTATTGTATTTGACTGGATGTTTACAGCCTTTAGAGCATGCTTAAAAAAATAGTATTTCTCTATAAATTTATTTCAAATTTAAATGTAAAATAGGTTTAACTATTTCATCACCAAACTGTTTCATCATGTCTTGAAATGTAGATATATACATGTCCAGAAAGGGAAAATCTGACAGTATTTTTAAATCAAGACTGATTTTATTATGTTTCATTGTTTTGGTTTATAGGTCTTATTGTCTAGATCCCATTCTAAAACCTCTAGGTATATAGTGTGTTGCAAACCAATCAGCTGAACTTGTTTCTAATTATATCTACTGTAAATAACTTTTGGTAGATGAACAGAACAAAACTATTTTTGCAGAATGAATGAATAAATGAATGAATGAATGCAGCAGTATATACAGTGACTATTATGTTATTAACAGGGCCACTCTTATAACAGCATCATCAAGTTTAGAAAAGCAAAGAGTACCTCTAGCATGATCAAAACACAAATCTAAACTTCAACATCCACATTTTTTTTCCTGATAGAACTTTCATTAGCAGAAGCAGGATAACACCATTTCCTTATCCTCTGCAGCCCTTAGCCATCCTTAATATTTGCTTTGGAAGTTTAAAGAAACATTGAGAGGTATAATTGGGGTTATAGATAGAAGTCTTACTATGAGGAGGGAAGTTTCCTTGTGCAAAGTTTGTTCTTTATAAGGAACAGTTCTTAACCGGTTTCAATATTTGTATTTTTGTATTCACTGGTCACTGATGTTACTTTGTTTCCCTGATAAAGATATTTCCTTAGTTAATTTATTCCAATAAAGAACAAATTTCAAAAGTTGTTATTGTATCTGAATTTGACAAGTGTTTTACAACAGAGATATGGGGTAGTTGTCTTCAAACAGGAAAGTTGAAGGACTGTCTTACTGAAGACATAGTAAACTTGTTTGGTGTTCTCCAGAAGGCAAGAAACAGTGAGTTGAATGGATAATGCAGATTTTAATTGGTCATCAGAAAAATATCCTAATGATAAGAGCTGTTTAACAATGAAACTTTATTAGTGGACTCCTGTATTGAAAAAAGGGCTGGAATAGCTGATTTCAAGATTCATTCCCATCCTAACTTTCTATGATTTTTGTAGGTAGCACAGTTCTTTCCCAGTGCAATTCCCATCACCTAGAGATTTGAAACAAGTACAGATAAGGATCTCAGTTTTCTTCTTCTCAACTTTGTTAACTTTCGTACCTTACCAAAGAATGCTGTCGTGTGGAATTTGATCAACAGCAGCCAAAATTGCTTTGCTAAGCTAGTTAGAACATAGTTCAATCTAAGCAAGAAAAAAATGCAGGCTAGTTTGAACTCGCAGGGCTTAACCCAACTCTTAATAGCTGAGTGTTTGACTTTCAGTCTTAATTTTTGTTATTTGCTGCAAAAACAAATCTATGACAATATTCTTGTTTTCTAAGTCAACTTCAAAACCACTTAAGAGGGTAGGGAGAAGTATTGGACAGTGTGTTTTCAAAATTCTTTTTTTAAACTTGAAAATAGGCAAGTGGGGGATGGGACATGCAAAATTATTCATGGAGAGGAGATTTGTCTCTTTTTCTCATTGTACTACAAGCTGGGATTTGGAGACTCCACCATGAAATTGCTGAACTAGAACTAATTAAGAAGTTTCCTTCCATTTAGATTTGAGTGGAGACATTTGTTTTCTGTTCTACTACAGATGTTAATTAGCATACTTTACTGGGATGGCTGGATTATTACCAATGACTGTTGTTCTGAACGGTCAATTTACTTATCTTGAGCTTTGCAAAGATCCCCCCTCCCTTTTTTTGCATTCCACTGGCATTAGGCTTCATTCCTTTTTCATGTCTCTGTGTGTTTGCAGATGCATAGGTCAGTGTGTATAACTATGTTGATACTTTGATGGCTGATTGAGGCTCCTGCCACAATAAGAAGTGTATTCTGATTATACTATCTGCTTACATAATCCACATTTGTTAGTTTTTAAGGACCCACAAGAATGTGGCTTTTGTGGCACAGTGTAATATGATGACCCATTTAGTATTGATGGATCTTTCCCTGCATACATTTCTACTTCATCCTGCAGTGGCACTCACTGGATTGCACCTCTTCTTAGGAAGAAATAAATAACTTCAGGAAGACCCTTTTGCTTACCTCATTGTGTTCCAAGCAGCCAATCATAAGTTCTGTCAAAATAACCACACCTGTCCTCCCTACTCCAGCACTACAGTGCACAACAATTGGAGGGTTGCTATTATTACTGCTGTCCAGAATGCTGTTGGTATGACGGCGCACCGACTGGATCTCTTCCAAATAGGCTGCAAGGTAGGAATATAAACAAAAATTACATTTCCCATATCTGTTGCAGTTTTACATAAACAATGGCAAATAAGTTGAGGAGAGCAAGTTTCTTTTTAAATTATGATATTTTATAGTTCTTAGGAACCTCTAATTATTTGGCCTCTAGACAGCAAACTGCACTGAATTCAAAATGCCAGCAGGGTGTCAATTACTACTTGGGACTTTAAATTAATCAGCTGTTTAAAAAAATACCCACACACACTCTACCACCCTTTGCAAATCCCAAGGTCCCAGAAGCAGATGACTGTAGACATTACTTACAGCAATTCCTGCGATTAACAGGCTGGGATCAGAACAACAGAAACTTTCCCCAGAAACATGCCTGCTGGAACACTATCTAATGGGAAGGGGCCATCCATCTGGCCCTTTCCTTACCTTGCAAATTGTGTCTGAATTTCAAATATTTCGGCCCTACTCTTAACTTCCAAGTATCATTTCTGGGCCTAGTGAAAAGTCTAAATAGCAAAACAAGCAAACATCAGGTTTGCCTTTAGCTGCACAATAGTTGCTAAAGACAGACTCTTTGACAACAACGATCTGTGATGTTAAACAAGGCACAGGAATGCTTAGCTCTACTGAGGCATTCAGCTTTAATAGCTACTGAATGAAGAAGGGGAAGAGAGTAAGGGTATTATGTCCTTCATGTAATTGTTTCAGCTACTTTACAGAGTTTTTGAGCCAAACTTCTCTAATGGGGAGCCTTCGGTATCCAAAGAGGTTCTTAGAATGTTATAGTGTATACATAAACAAAGTATTTTAGAACAGTCTGGTCATCAACCCATCAAGTGCCACTGTATGCAATCCCTGGCAACTGTTCTCAGGAGCACAACTTAATAACTCTGCACATTATGTAGTCAGTGTCGAATTTTTTTGCTACAGATTCTCTGAGAACTTAACCACTTCTGTGTATGGCCAGCACTTCTGAGCAAAGTAAGTTCTTTAAAGTGATGTTATCAATTCAACTATATATTCTATATATTGAAATGTAGGATCTGAGTTCCTCTCTTTGGGAGAATCAGATTAGAAAACCAACTGCTGATCCTTATTCTGTGTGTTTTTCCTCTAATCCTGAAGTTAATCTAATACAGTATTTTTCAGACTTGACAACTTTAAGATGTATGAACTTCAACAACCAGAAATGGAGTTGCATGCTGGCTGGGAATTCTGGGAGTTGAAAACCAGGCATCTTATAGTTACTAAGTCTGAAAAACACTGACCTATGAGAAGCTAAGCAAAACCTTGCGAAATCGTGATCAACACATAAGAACATTATTTAGGTACTCTATGGTGATGAAATGAATTGTTAGGTTATTGCATTTACTTTTGTAACATAATAGGATTCATTTCATCAAGAAAATACAATGATCATCTATTTGTTATCTTTCCTTATAAAATATTTCTTAACAATCCTCTTTTGCTCTACCCTCTCCCCTTTCCCTGCCCCTAGCACCAATAAACACAGTTGCCATTACATGTAGGAAAGCTTACAAAGGAAGTCTTGCTCTCCTGGACAAGCATGATCTGGCCAGTTGGTGTACTGTAAATGCCACACAGTCTTCTCCTGTCCTAACAAAAGGTGCTTGACCTTCAGGCCTGTTGTAGCATAGCAACCAGAAACAGTCCGGAATTTGGTGGTCACTTTGAATTTTCCATAAGTGGCTGAGCTATGTTTTGAGCCAAGTTTTGGCCAATAACGATGGCTTTTGGTTCTTCCTCTTTCCTACACCGCCCCAAATGGAAACAGAAACAAAATTAGCAACCATTCCTGAAACAAAAGAATAGATCAAGTACTATGTTGGCATGATATAGGTGTTACAATGTCAGAATAACATTAGAATCACCTGGATTCAATTCCCCATACAGTTCACTGGATAGCTATGGGTTATTATTTTCTTTTAGCCTTGTTATGCAAGTAACATAAGTTATGGAGAAAACTCCATCAGACTTCTTTGGAGAAACAATAAGATGAATAAATAAGTTAAACAGCCATTCAATCCTGCGTCTATCACTATTATTTTTGTCTTACCACTGACTAACCTATAATATTTTTAAATTGGCATAAACAGTCAATGGAACTGAATAAATAGAAATTGAATGAATGAATGAATGAATGAATGAATGATCCTAACCCGACAACTAATTTGGCAGCATCCAAGATCTATAAAATACATGTGCCACTCTATACGCAATAGACCTTATATTCAATAACTTGCCTGATAATCATAAATGTGTATGAAGAAGCAAGATAAAAAAAGTATTGATGCTTTTGAATGTCAGGAATTGGAAAAGAAACTCCTGATAATATTATAGATAGCCAAAATAACAAATATATGAATAACTGAACAACTCATCTCACAGGTCTGACTCAAGGCATAAATGAACAGACTCAAATTATCCTACTTCCAACACATTACACTAAGTCCATCTCTCTAGAAAAGGCTCTAATACTGGAAAAAGGTAAAGGTGGGAGGAAAGAGAAGAAGAGAACAACCAGCAGTTGTATCTGGATGGACTCAGATACAGTGCAGTGCAGTGCACCATTGGAAAACCTGGAAGACCAATGAGGATGGAGAAGTTCAATCTACGTAATTGCTGAGAGTTAGCATTGACTTGATAGCACATAATCAGTCAGAGGTGACCAAGGTTCCATGGAACAGAGTGGGGCTGGGAGAAGCAGAACAGTTTTCAGCCAATGCATTATCACTACAATTAGTCCTCCCTTTCCTGAGTTCAGTTTGCATTAGTATTAGAAGATGAACGTCACAGAATTGCAGTAGGCTGGAAGAGAAGGAACAGATTATAGAAACAGATATGAACTTTTAGACAAGGGACATAATGTTTTATGTTTTAACTCTTTGTGTTTTACAGTTTTTAAAATAATTGCATATGTCTTTAAATTTTTGATGGAGAATTGCCCAGGGTTGGCTGAAAAATGGGTGGCTATATAAATGTTTTAAACAAACAAACAATTATATGAACACTTATGCACATGCATACACAATCAGTGTTTCTATGCTACCATTGGAAAAGAGGACTCTCTCTGCAAATATTACAGAAATGCAAATTAGTATAACAATTTCCAGAACAATAATCATTAGAAGTTTGTTCCAAATGCCAACAGAGTTTACATCAAAGAAAGATTACACTAAGAAACAACTCTAAAAAAAACTCCAACAAAAATCTAAATAAAATAGCTTTATAGGGTAAATCAAGAACTCTAGGTCAAGCGCACTTTATGTCACGAGCATACAAGATGTTCAGAGTCTGAAAAGTCAACAATGCAAACTGATCCTCTGTCTGGGTATCATCCCATGCACCTATTCCCATTCAGGAGACTGTGAGAAATATCTGGAGAGTTTTGCAGTAGTTCAGGAGTAGCCCAAGAAATTAAGAAACAGGTATAAGGATACTCAGAGAATGATTTAAATTCTCCTGGATTGCTCCATATCCCTAAGATTGCACTTCTCTCTCTCTCTCTCTCTCTCTCTCTCTCTCTCTCTCTCTCTCTCTCTCTCTCTCTCTCTCTCTCACACACACACACACACACACACACACACACACACACACACACACAATCTCAATTTGGGTCACAAGACTGCCCTGTTCTCTTTCTGTGGCTGCTTAGGAAGCAACTTTTTCCATGGCCCAATTATTCTGTAACGGTGTATTTAATGGACTCTTGCTCCCCCTTCTGAACAGCTGATAGCTGTAAATGTTTAAAATAGGAATGATCGAGAACAGCTGACCCTCTATGCCTGTAAAATCTATGCATCTGAACTGGATTCAGACTGCTGGTTGCTGGTGCGTCCCAGTTTTGCAATGCAATGTACAGTTTGGGGGTTATCTGTTTTGCTTGGCATAGAACAGCAGACATCCCCCCCCACTTGATACTTTTATACAGGAACAACAGCTTTTGGTCTCCTTGCAGCTGATAAGGATTCCAGTACGCAAAGGTGGCCTTGGTTGAGCTGAGAATGTCGTTCTTTTCAAATAAGAGCAGCTTTGTATTCTCAGAATTCACTGGAATTCTGTTTGCTTTGTTTGGCATGCTACAACCTTCTAATGGAGCTAGAATGTTACAAACAAGGTTGTAATGGTTGAGTCATCCCAGGCAGAAGTTCAAAGGATTTAAAACAAAACAAAACTGAAGAGTAAAGAGCCAGCAAAGACAAGCACGTTATTTCAGACTTTCCTACAGCACAAAAATCTCACGTGCATAATCACTCAGGCACCCCTCGCTCAAGGGTATTGTAGGATAAAACCGGGGCCTGCTGCAGAACAGTTCCTGCTATAACAGAGGACAAGCTGATCAAAAGAGAGAGAACAAATCCACAGAGGATGACATGTTTCAAGATTTGAAAAAAAAATGGAAAATTTGTGGCATAGAGCCTAGTTATTTGAGAGATCACCTATTGTAGGGTTGTTTTTGCCTGTCCCATGAAACTGGACAGAATCTTCTCTTTTTCTATGAGTATAGTGAGCACACTTCTGATCAATCTTTGTGTTTCATTTATCAAACAGTGTGATCTTGTGGAACTTAGAAATCTGCTTTCTTCTTCCAGGTTATCTGCTGGGATGGCTCCCAGCCTAATGCTGTTCAGGAAGCTACTAAAGATCGAGCTCTGGTTGAAAGTTGACCTTAGTTAACAGTTTTGGTTTGGGGTGGGGGTGGGTTGGTTGGTTGGTTTGGTTTTATGCAGTTTCTGGATTGCTCATGTTTTGTTTTTGTCCTTTGTATTTTTTTTTCTTTTTTAATTGTAAGCTGGCCAAAGTCAATGGGAATCCCATTGACTTTGGGCAGCTTACAATAAAAAATAATATATATGTAATAAATGTAGTAAATACACATTTCTTCTCCTTGTATTTTCTTACTTGGTTGTCAAAACATCGTGTGTGTGTGTGTGTGTGTGTGTGTGTGTATTAAAATTAATGTGGCCACTGGCCAGTTCAAGTTATCAGTAAGCCACTTGACTTTCAGTTGGTTTCTTCTGCAACCCCCATCAGTCTATACTAGCATAGCTAATTGCAAGGCTGTGTAGTTGTTTTATTAGTTTATATACCCCTTTGTCTCCAGAAACAAACAGTACGTTATATTGGAATCTTCCTTTATTTTATTCTCATCACAACACCAAGAAGTAGGTGGAACCAAGAAAAACTGAATTTGTAAATTGCCTACCCGATTTGATAGGATTTATTATTGCCATAAACAGACTCAGTTTTTATGTTATGTTTAGAGAACTAACAGCTCTTCTTTTTTCCTCCCCCCCCTCTCTCCTGTTCCAAATTTGATTCTTTACTATTTTATGTCATCAGATATTCTATATAATGAGAATACCAGGCAAGATATAAATGGATCTTACTCAGCCCCCGTGTTACTAGGATGATTTTGAAATCTCTGTTGGGTAATAATTAGTGTTAACTTAGAAATAACGTGTGCTGGGTTCATTTCCATATTTAGCCATGTTTCTCAATGGCTTATTGTTTCATACTGTTGATACCTTAACTGCTATTTGTGTAATGATTATGGTTACTCTCCAGTATGTATTTAAAATTCTCTTCCTTCTGTCACATTCGAAATGACACTTTTGTAACTCCTTGGGAGATCACTGGATAGAGGAGAGAGAACATGCCTAAGGCTTTTATGGATCTCACAGTTCACCTTTTCTGGAAGAGAAAGTTTCCTAACTCGTTTTCTTGGCTTCATGAGAGGAAGTGAGGGGAACATGTGAGCCTGGGAAATGGCCAGAGCTTTTAACACTTCACTTAACCACGGCTCAGCCTGATTTCAAATGCAGCTTGTCTATCTCCTCTGAAAAACTTTTTCCTGGCTGGGAAGCTTCTGTTTGTGTTTCACTGCAGATGTTTCCTGTCCTGTTACATACCTCTTCTGCTGTCACCATGGCTATCACATTGACTCCTTCCTCCCACACCATTTGCCAGAAATCATGGCATGTTTGTGGCAATGGTCCTTGTGTAGCTATATAGTGCCATTCTTCTCCACCTACTGTCACCTAGGAAAGAGAGAGAGAGAGAGAAATTACTTTCATAACTGCACAACTCTCCTATGGGTGCTTATAACATGCTGAGCTGATCTACCCATCTTTGCTCTTCTTAAGGCCGGACACCAAATAAAGTTTAGGTTTCTATCTATTAGTTCAAAGTAGAAGTTCAATATATTAACAATATTCAAGTAATTGGACTGTTCTTAGCCTAACTTTGATGGAAACAGCACATTTGAAAACAAAACGAACAAAATACAACCTAGACCTAGAAGAAAAGTGTCAGTCTAGAAATGAGGCAACTTCTTGTTTCTGGTTCTCCTATGAAATATTGTCTCCTTGTCATCCCTCCCCATTCTAATATTTTTCTGCATAAATTTTCTGATAAAAAATTTCTGTTTATGTCACCTATAGTCACCATTCTATAACTCTTATTCTGTATCTAGAAATGCATCTGTATGAAGTTTCCAGCAGCCTATGTTCCATCTGATAATGTATGTTTATTTTCCAGAGATGAAAAATTTAGCACTTGTATGTCTCAATTTTAAAAAAGGGAGAGCTCAGAGATGATATGTTGATGGTGGTAAAAAAAAAAGTAAGCATGTTGATAACTGAATTTACAGGGGTTCTCAACCTTGCCAACTTTAAGACTTGTGGACTTCAACTCCCAGAATTCCTCAGCCAGCAAAGCTGGCTGAGGAATTCTGGGAGTTGAAGTCCACAAGTCTTAAAGTTGGCACGGTTGAGAACCCTGAGTTAATACATATGGATAGAATGTTTGTAATTTCAGCAACCTGGACAAACAAAGTATAAAAAAGGCAGGCAACCCAACCAAGACTGGAAGAGGAGTAGGATAACTCTTATCAGAATATTAAGGGAGTTCAGCTTTGGTTAGAATTCAACTTCCCAGAACAAGGAATAAAACTCCATAAAGAGTCTAGAGTGAAAGAATGGCCTGGTACGTGGAAGAATAATATTATCCTGACTCACCATATTAGATATTGTTAACTGGGAGAAAATCACTTGCTGTGTGAATGAGGCGGGAAAAAAACTGCAGATGGAGTTTCACCTTCTGAGCAAAAAGAACATCTGCTTGGCTTCTGCCTCAGCCACTTGGAGTGCAGGAAAAAAAATGTACTGGCAACACACAGAGTTGTATATGACTACAGATCAGCACATGCCCCGACATGTGCTACAGAACAATGTGTTTATGTCCAATACTGATATACCAGATGAAATATGAGGTTTTAAAACTGACTAGGGAGAATTCTTCTTGGCCCTTGCCACCTGATGGGGTGAAATTATGCCTTCCCAAACAATTTCTCCTCCCATAGATAGATGAAAAATGTTCCATTCAGTAATCAGTCATCCAAGCTAAGGCAGATTGTGCCAAAAGTACCCAATATCTTCTAGCCACCAGGTCTTTTGGCAGAAATCTGATAGGATTCTGATTTAGAAGGCTTTTAACTCAACAGGGGGTTTTAGTATTGCAAATGATGATCAAACAGCTCTTGGAACTCAAGAGAAATGTCTTGCAGGAAGTATAGTTAGTGCTAAAAATTATTTGGACCAAAATGAAAAGTTATCATTACAAACAGATGTAATTCATTTTTTTTAAAAAAAAAGCAACAACAAACTGTTAGATAGAAATATGGAATGATTTTCTTCTAAACTCTTTTATTGTAGAAATGATTTTCAGTGTCACTATCAGTTACATCATAAGGCCAAAAGATTTGCTTTGAAAACGTTGCCCTAGCCATCTTCTTAGGTTTCATGCAGGGTTGTTTTGAAAATACAGGAGGGTAAGAAAAGCCATAAACATTGCCTTAAACCAACTTCTTTTGCAAATATTCAGCAGTTTCAGATTCAGATTGCAGAATAAAACCAAGAATAAAGCCAAGTCAGGCTCGAAGGATGATCTGGATTGTAATCTAAGATCAACTAAAGATGCCAGTTGTTTCATCTATCCATGGATTTCTATATACAGGTGCACTGGCAGCTTACTAAAACTTGTTAAAACAATTATAAAATTGAGATCAAATAAGAACATGAAAATACTTAAAGCTGACTTTGCAAAAGTAATAAGGCCTTTTAATAGCAGAAATGAAAACAACAGAAATAAAATTAAAGAACTGCCATCAGACAGAGTCTGAAGAAATAAAAATGTTCTATGTCTGGAAACAACAACAACAAACCAGAATAGGTTGCAGAAGAGAAACTCTGGGAAGGGGCCATCATGGAGTCAATCAGCTGGGAAGCCATCATCCACTAAAGCTCAAACTTTTAAGAGCACAAGGCAGAAACCTTCAAAAAGACTACATATATAGAGTAGTCTTTTTTTAGGCCTATTTAGTGCTTTTTTTTCTTAAAAAAAAAAAAGGTGCGGGAACTCACACACATCATACAACCTGCCCTGCCTACCCTACAAGGTTCCATCCAAAAAAGGTGCTGGAACTCCGTTCTGGACGTTCTATGACAAAAAAAGCCCTGGGCCTATTCCAAATAAAGATACGAATTTACATTACAGAAAGCCTCCTTGTACTAGTGTGCTCCTAGATATTTAATGAAATACAATCCAGGTAACATCACTGATTCTCAAATTTTCCCTTCCACAGGCTCATTCACTGCCCTGAGGCAATCACTGTCTTCCCCCACATAAATTAGGGATATAGAAGATAGCAACAAAATCATTTGTCTGTTTTGCTCAAAAATACATTTTGCTGATTTTAATAGTACAATCTTGAGTATCTGGGAATGGGGCCCAAATGAAGCCAAGTGATTACTCCTCAAAGTAATTAAACTTCTATTAGCCACAATTCTTTCCCTCGTCATTACCTTTATGTGTGATGCATTGATGTAGCCTGTATTGTTTTCTTTGGTGGGTACCAGCTCCACTCGGTTCTCTTCGTATGGAATGACTTCTCTGACACGATTACGTTCAATATTCTCAGGGAGAATGGCAGTGGTGAAAATTCCGTCTGCCTTCTTCTTTGGAATCTGCTCATATTCGGTGAACACCATCCCCTCTTCCAGTTTTCTCCTCAAGGTTTTGCACTACATTTTCCATTAAAGATATAAATGAAAAGAGAGTGTTTGTCTACAAGTCTGTTCCAATTTTTTCCAATTTGCTCTTCCTTACTTTAATTCATCCTCATACAGTTGTTTGAGGATATATTAGTAAAGGGAAGGGGCTCCCTATGCTACTGCTAGCAATTTAAAGGTAAGAAAGAATAAAAGTGTCCTATTGTTTAGAGACAAACAAAACTGCTCATGGACTAATTCATGGGTAAGACTTACATGACCTAGCATAGGTCCCAATATTTTTTCCCATGTTTCCCATGTGATCCCATACATATCATCCCAATTTTACAATTAACAAAAGTATAATATACTATTGCCCAAGTATTTTTAAATAAAACCTTTAAGAATGACCATTGCTGACAACCTCCTCCCAAAAAAGAAAAAAAATCTGTTTTGTTTTGCAAGTCCTATTCTTACCCGCTCATCCATTGGCACCTTGGCTCCTTCATCTTGGCTATCCTCAGGCACTGGAACTCGAGCAACTGAGAGTCCATTGAGTGCTGCCAACATCAAGGGCCTCTTCTGGGCTTCCAGGCCTGCCATCTTCTGTTTCTCTAGATACTTTTGGCAAGAAAAGGCATGCTTTCATCTCAGGATGATTAGAAACAATGCCAGCAGAATGTTGGAATGTCGTTTTAATCTCCCACAAAATCTACAACACCAACTGAGGAGTGCAGATGATTGTCATTAGCAGAACAAACCCAAATGCATCTCCTAAACTTCCTATTATTTCCTTGGGGAAAAGAGATAATATTCTGACATGAATGCAGAATTTTAATTTCAAAGAAACTGTCTCACAATACAGACGACTTGTCATAAAAGGCAGTCCTTTCTCTCTTTCATATTCTCCGTCAAATGTAAATGTTAGCTACAGAATGAGCAACCCAAGCTTGCCAAGCAAACTACATATATATATTAAAAATAACCAGATTGCTAATATACTTTAAATCAGGGGTGTCAAACTCAATTTCATTGAAGGCCGCATCAGCATTGCAGTTGCCCTTGGGGGGTTGGGTGGGTGTGGCCAGGATGGGTGCGGACTACTGGGTGGGCATGACCAGCTCTACATCGTTCGCATCAAGGGTGCCTGTGGGGGTCTGAACAGGAGTGGGACAGATGTGAGGGTCTCCGGCAGAATGGGGCAGGACTGGGGCAAGCGCCAAGGCATGATGCATTTCTTCAATCCTCACAAAGGGTGACACCTCCCCAGCATGCACCCAGGGGGCGGGGCCAATGCAGCAGGGGCTGGTTCCTTGCTGTTTCTAGACGGCCTCGTGGAGCTAAGACTGAATGCATTTCAGCATAGATGACCACCACAAAATTGTACATTGGCTCCCGGCTGGCCTGGGCCAGGGCCAAAGCAGCGGGGGCCGTTCCCTCACTGTTTCCAGGATGGCTTCGAGGGCCACATGAAACCACTTCACGGGCCGCATCCAGCCCCCAAGCCTTGTGTTTGACATGTCTGCTTTAAATGATGTTGTCATGCTGAAATTAAAATGAGCTCCATTATGTATAAACTGAATAAAAATACATCTCTCCTCACCCATCCACCCAAATCCCACCGAATAGATCAACTGGAAAGGGTTCATAGTAGGTAAGCATTATGTAAATGTGCAAAGCTGTGAAATGTAAAAAAGGAACTCTTTCTCTTTCAGCCTCTATGGCCCATTTCTGTTAGATTCAAAAACTACATGTACCATCAACTCGCCATTTGTGATGCCATCTCTCAGACTTCATGAAAGTTCCTGCAACTTTTTCAATTGCTCCCAACTAACAAAAGAAAGGGCATTCTTCAAGAGGATAAGGGGGTATCATAAAATGTCAGCCATCTTCTCTTCTTTCAGCTTGGTAATAATCTACCTTTCAAATATATTATCCATAGATTTATATGTTGCCTGAAAACATTCTCAAATATTTTTCAGGGTTCAACTAGTCTCTTTACACAGTTCTTAAAATTAAAACTGTCTTACAAGTCTGTAATAATAATAATAATAATAATAGTAGTAGTAAAGTTGGAAGGGACCTTGGAGGTCATCTAGTCCAACCCCCTGCTCGGGCAGGAAACCCTACACCATTTCGGACAAGTGGCTGTCCAGTCTCTTCTTAAAAACTTCCAGTGTTGGAGCATTTACTGCTTCTGGAGGCAAGCTGTTCCACTGATTAATTGTTCTCACTGTCAGGAAGTTTCTCCTTAGTTCTAGGTTGCTTCTCTCCTTGATTAGTTTCCACCCGTTGCTTCTTGTCCTGCCTTCAGGTGCTTTGGAAAATAGTTTAATTCCCTCTTCTTTATGGCAGCCCCTGAGATATTGGAATACTGCTATCATGTCCCCCCTTGTCCTTCTCTTCATTAAACTAGACATACCCAATAAATAGCTGCATTTCAGATCTAAGTAGTCTGGCTTGATATTGAAAGCTTTAAGGGAAACTGTTCTTCTGATTCACACCCCTCCCTGCCCCCACCAAGCCTTACCACTTCATAAACCTTTCTGGGGAGTTTCCAGAACTTCAAATGACAACAAAAATATACCTAGTTATCACTGGGTGACCCGAAAACAACAAAAGCCAAGGAGTGGTGAACTAGGGAGGGGTTGGGTAAAAAAAAAGTACCCTGGCTTGAAAATCAAATTAATGTTCTGTCAACTTGAGCAGCCTGAGTATCTAGATGTTGGATTTCTTGTTCACTTTGGAAATATGAGAACATGAGCAATTCTATATTTCTGCTCTTATCAGTAAGTCTGCTTTCAGGTGAAGAAAATAAACATTTATTCATAACAGAACAGATTTAAACTAAGGAACTAACTGTAACAATGACAAGCAACTTGACTAGCTTTCAAAATGGAGGCAGATAGCTTATCAATGGCCACTAGCTATGACAACTATTTGCTATTTCAACAATCAAAACAAGGTATCTCTGGATATCAGCTGCTGGAGAATAAAAGCAAGATGGTGCGGTTCACCCATGTCCTGCTTGTAAACTTCCTCATGACATCTGGATGAGTACCACAGCAAAAGAATGTTGGCTTGGACATGTTTTTAATGTGATCCAGCAGGTCTCTTACTGTCTTCTTACCAATTCAGACGTCGCATCTGCTTATGCATCAATGGATTCTAGTGTCTTCTATTTTAAGTATTCTGAAATATTTATGCTGACTCTGAATATGATCCAAGACAACATTTTATCTATTTCAATCATTTTTATGTAAATTTTCTAAAAGACAGTTAAAAACTTTTCAACTTTGCTACTCACTTCAGTGAGAGACTTAAACTAAGTTTCTAGCCAATATGATTATACAGTAACTGCAGTTTAATAAAGACATTCTTTGACCTGATTTTCCCCCCCCATAGCCCATATGTTCAAACAGAGGCATATGCCCTTAATTTAAATTTAGCTTTGAAAGAGGTTTCTTTTTAGTGACATAGCAGATATTTCTTTTCAACTGTAACTTATGGTATCGTTCAGAGATACCCCTAAAGTACATGAAATACACTTACCCTCATTTCCCTTTCTATGATACTGTCCTCAATGGAGAACATTTCAGACACAGGCCTCTCCTTCACTGGCTCTTTCTTGACCCGTTCCTTGACACTTGTGAGGTCTGGCTCAGAGATGGAGGGACCAAGGGAAGATCCATTCATCATGCTCTGATCAGTCCGAGATGTGCTAATTGTCCTGGCTGGTCCCGGCCTCATCACCTTGGCTCGAGACACAGCCAGCGGAACATTATTCATCTGGTCATTCCGCAGCGCTCCATTGCTAACACTTTTCCTGGGACCAGGATACTCAGGAGGAGGTTTGTTAGGTATTCGAGCCAAGGCAGCTTGCAACTGGGCGCTGTACTCCACGTTTTCATGTAGGGCCGCCATAGAAGGCACAGATTCTGATGCTTCTTCCTCATCTTCACTTTCACTGCTGTGGATCAGCATTGTAGCATCTGAGAAGGTCTTTTTGTGATGGTAATGAGGGACCTGCTGAACCTCATGCCCTCTTTGAACCACTTCCTCTGGCTGCATCTCATTGCGTAGGGTATTTCTGCGTGGCAAGGGAGCATTTAGGCTTTTTAAAGCCATAGCTTCCATTCCACGCACCATATTACTTATCACTTCCAAACTGTGGCGTTTGTTGATGGCTGCATGATGTTTGGCTGCCATAAGAGGTTCACTAACTTCCTGTAGTGACTGATGGACAACGGGAGCACTATCTTCTTGAAAAGTCTTCACTGAAAGCTGCACTTTCCGAGGCACCAGGTCAGGACTACTGCCAGTGACATACTTGTGGCGGTGACTTGCTAGGTCAGGTGTACTGGTAGCAGGACGTGGACGTGGATAGGGTGGTGGTGGCCTAAAAAGATAATTCTTCAGTATGTGTGCAGGGCCACATCTTTGATTGTTGGGAAGCTGCATATTGGCCAGCTCTGGAGTGCTAACTGTATGGGAAATGGCACTAGCTGTCGGTTTTGCCTGCAAAGCATTCATAGGATTCACTTGCTCAGGAGGAGTCACATGTTTTTTGTAAGTGCCTTGAGGCCCATATGCAATGGTATAAGAAGGTCTCTCTTGAATTTCTGGTTGACTGTATACAAGGTCTGTGGGTTGGCTGTAAACATGAGTATTCCCAATATTGAGGTTCCTCAAAGACTGGCTTTGGCTATCGGTGTGAATCACTCCTCTCTTCATTTTCCTCATTACAGTGTCATAATCTGGAGTAGGCCTATATGAAGGTACAATTATTGCACTATGTCTATGGCTTGGTATGTAATCTGCTCTCATAATGTCACTTCCAGGGATACTTAGGTTGGAGGACACTGGAGAAGCTTGAACGAAGTTCTGTGAATGGTTGAGAGAGTTCATACTTTGGGCACTGCACACACTGCCATTTGGGACACTGCCATTCAAATAGCTGAAGTCCATTGCACATCTGTCCAAGCTAGTCTGAGATCTATAGTAAAACATGTCTTCATTTCCATGAAAAATGCTATCTGTGTGTAGAAAAAGTAGAAAATGACTGGAAAATACAACAAAGAAGCTAAAGAGAAAAAGTGATGTAAAAACATTATTAAGGCTACATCTCAATTTCAGTAATAGCAGCCCCACCTGCATAAACAAAGTCTCATTACTGGTGCCTGTGGAAAAAAGAAATCCAGTGCAGTTTTGGAGTTCATCACATTTAGGAATAGCAATGCCAACAAGCAGAGAAACTCAGGATCATTGTCTTTTTGAACTGAATAAATACTGTTATTGTCACTATTCAATAACATTCTTGTCAGTGCAAAATTGTAATATGCACAACATGGGAAAGCTTTGTATATCCATCCATCCACCAAACATCCAAAAACTGTTTCTTTTTCCTCCTATTTAATAAGAAGTTTAGTTGCAAAAGCATTTTGTACTCCCATCTGAGTACATGCAGGGCTCTTGATTAAAAGTTCCAATCACAGTGATCATATATTTGTTGGCTGCAGTCTTATTTAGAAGTATGAAATCCAAAAAAGGGAGAAATGATAGGATTTGTGTATTGACCATCACTTACCTTCACCAACATGTTGATGGGAGTAAGCTTAGAAGAATAATGGTAATTATGTTCAACTGAGAATAATTATAATTTTATTTTAGATCTTCTCTATTAAGAAAATGGGGGGGGGGGAGAGGAGACTGGCAAGGACTTGTTCTCAGATGACCAAATATGAATGATAGAACTTCTCTATGGTAGTTTCCAAATTCTGGAATTCTTGACCACCAGATGTCTATAAGCTCCTCTGAAGTTTTTAGATCTTCAGAGACAAGCTAAGTTTTATTGGTGTCCATCTTGGAGAAATAATTTATTGCTTTTTATAATTATGATTTATTTCAACTGCTGATTTTATAATTTCAAGTGTTATGTTTGTCCAGTCTTTTATATAAAAACTATAAAATAAATAAACAAATGCTCCAATTTTCCCTTGGATCCTCTAAGGCAGTGGTTCTCAACCTTCCTAATGCCGCAACCCTTTAATATAGTTCAGCCCAACCCTATGGGCTCTCCAAGCGCGCACTGACGCCGCCCACTCACCCGACGTGCCCAGGGCTCAGTGCGCCTCACCTGTCCTCACCTCACTTCCGAAGGTCGCCGGCCTGCCTGGCTCCAGCTGGCCAGGGAGGGGGGGCAGGAAGGCCACTCCGCCCAGCCTGGTTGGAGAAGCACCCAGGCGGGGAGAGGAAGAGAGAGAGAGAAAGAGAGAGAGCCAAAAGGGCGACAGCGCAGGCAGAGCTTAGTTTAGCCTCCTCTGCGGAAAGGGCCACGAAGCAGTGCAGCCTCCCTTAGGAGATGCTTGACAGAAACGAATCCAGCGCTGCAACGGCCCCCAGCTCGAAACCGTGCGGAGACAGATAGAGGAGCAGTGTCTCGGTTCCTAAGACCATCGGTGTTTTCCTATGGTCTTAGGCGATCCCTGTGAAAGGGTCATTTGACCTCCAAAGGGGTCGCGACCCACAGGTTGAGAACCGTTGCTCTAAGGGGACATGCAGATGCAAATATAAGCAGGTACTTTTTCTAAAATGTAGCAAAAATAAAGCAATCATCTATTTCCAAAACTTTGGGATAGAACCAGAGCTATTTCATTATTTTCACCAGCCTGTTACTATTTCAAGACATACCTTTTATATCTCTGCAATTTTAGATTTTAACACACTAGAAATGGCATTCCTAAATAATTCTTATTAATGAATTATTTACTTACTTACTTCACTTTCTCTACCATTCAGTTCAAGTTATTAGTCAGATCACCAGTTACCTTCTGTGAGAAAGGGAGATATGGCTGCACAGTAGGTAAGAACTATGGCTGTAAATCAGAAAAGCTCCATTTTAATCTGGCAACTGTTATCAACTATGTATCTGGCCAGTGGGCCAAATACAAATATGGAGATTGCTGAGTCCAGATCTTTGGACTTGGAAAGGCAAAACCTGGATGCAAACCTATTTCGAAAAGAGGATGCATATACTGAACAAAGATTAAAGTCCTTTAATTCTGCTCTGTCTTCAGCCAACTGCAGGTATGTGGCTTCCTCAAATATTGACTAAGTTATACAAATCTCATGCAAAAAAAAAAAAGCATATCCTCCTCATATTGGAAAAAAAAGAAATTTGATATTGTAAATTCCTCTTTTTTAAAAGTCACCACTATATCTGTTGTTGTTATTATTCCCATTCCCATCACTAACCTTGTGAATTGTGAGTTTCAGTGTAGTGTTCTCCACACTGGACATGCACAGGAGGCATAATAAATGGGTGCTGCCTTGGCTAGAAAGTGAAGTAAAATAAAACATACACTTTGGACATTTATTTATAGCAACTCTTTTGTAATATGTCTACAGATCTGTTTATTACAATCGTTTGTAGTTGGAGAAGCTCCAGAGTGATCCACGTCTCTTGAGCTCCGCACTTATGGCAAGATATTTACCAAAGATGATCTACTCCATGTGGGCCGCCGTCTGATAGGGGGAGGAGAATTTGATTGTCTGTGGGGAAAATATGGAAATGATTCTTAATCTCTGTAATTCTGTAAAATACGGAACATGTACTCTAATGCAAGTGGTATGAAAAGTCTGTTACATAACAGCTGTAATTATCTGTTTTGAAATGGATATGAAAATATATAAGCTAAAGAAATAGGGAGTATTATTTATAAAGGCGTTAACATTTACTATCACACATGCCCTAACAAGAAGAACAAATTTATTTTAACCAGAAATGCAAAGAATTTTTTCAATAGAACCAAACCAAATAATCAGAGTTAATTTGATATTGTTTAGGCCAATTTTCCTCCAATTAGAGCTCTCCAGACGTATTTAACCACAATTTCTGTCACCTCCATTATTGAGGTGATGAGCATTATAGGTCCAAGATGTGAAGGGCACCAGGTTGGAGAAGACCAGTTTTGGAAAAGGAATTTTAAAAAAGGTAATAGTAAGAGCATAACAAATCACCCAATAATTATCTTATTGGCACTCGCAGGCTAAGAGAGAAACAAGCAGGGGAATGGAATTTCATGTTAAAATAGTAAGAAGCATGGAAATGGGAGAAAGAACCAAGAGGCACAAAATAAAAAAAAAAATCACAAGACATAGTAGAAATAAAGCGCTTACGTGTAGAAAGGAAAGGTGGAATTCCTCATCTTACATTTTCTGATCTGCTAAATGATGTGATGTGCAGTTAGAAAATACCCACTCATACCCGCCTCCATGCAAATTGCAAAGAGCGGACTCAAAAGATAAAGATATGGAAAACTTCGCAGCTAGAAATCATAGATCTTAGGAACTAATGCTATCAGCCCAAACAACACACCCTTATACTAAATTCTGAAGACACGCTGACCACTTTCCAGACAAGACTCCAAAGGCAGTTAACAGCAGAAGTAGAATTTTCAAAAAGTAAAAAAAAAAAAAAAAAAAAAAAAGTTATCAAGCAACATGACATCAACATCAATAAAACAAATATATCAACATCTCACATGAAAAACAATTCTTCCAACTTCACAAATACTCTCTAGACCAGGGGTGTCAAACTGCCGGGCCGTGGGCCGGTTGCATCATATGGAGGCCGCGCCCACTCCAGCTCCAGCAATGCAAAAAAAGTCACGATACGTCATGACATGGCGAGCTTGACACCCGTGCTCTAGACCATCACGTTTCCACCCATATGAAGAAAATTCTGAATGCTGAAAAAATTACATGTAGAAATAAAAGCCGTCGTCTTCATACTGCCCCATGTACCAGTATGTTGGATGGCAGGGACACCTAGAATAAAATGAATGAGAGAACAGAGGGGCTAAAAATGGGGTTGATTCAGCTGCAGTTCCTTTTTTTTTCCTTTTGCTCTTCCCCCAGTCATTTCATGCAAAATCTACTCCCACCCCCTCGGTGGTGATTCAAATCCGGCTCAAGTCATCCCATATTTTATATTACTTTTTATTAAAGATGCACCAAGAGAAACCTCCAAGAGTTTTCAACCACTACAAAGATGGCCAAGATTTTAGCCCAAAAACTTGCTTTTCGAGTATAGATGTACATGGTTCTACCTTCAGAGTTTGAATTCTGTGGATGAACTATGACCTGGCCCTCCTCCCTCTTCTGTCTGTCTGAGAATTACTGACATACAGTAACTGGCATTTCTCTCATTCAGGTACTAGGTCTTTTCTTTCACAGGGCAACTTTTATGGAAAAGAGGTCACTGTATTGTTCTTTGTGACTGAAACTCATTAAGTAATAATAATAATAATAATAATAATAATAGTAAAGTTGGAAGGGACCTTGGTGGTCATCTAGTCCAACCCCCTGCTCGGGCAGGAAACCCTACACCATTTCGGACAAATGGCTGTCCAGTCTCTTCTTAAAAACTTCCAGTGTTGGAGCATTTACTGCTTCTGGAGGCAAGCTGTTCCACTGATAAATTGTTCTCACTGTCAGGAAGTTTCTCCTTAGTTCTAGGTTGCTTCTCTCCTTGATTAGTTTCCACCCGTTGCTTCTTGTCCTGCCTTCAGGTGCTTGGGAGAATAGCTTAATTCCCTCTTCTTTATGGCAGCCCCTGAGATATTGGAACACTGCTATCATGTCCCCCCTTGTCCTTCTCTTCGTTAAACTAGACATACCCAATTCTAGCAACCGTTACTTATATGTTTTAGCCTCCAGTCCCCTAATCATCTTTGTTGCTTTTCTCTGTACTCTTTCTAGAGTCTCAACATCTTTTTTACATCGTGGTGACCAAAACTGGATGCAGTATTCCAAGTGTTGCCTTACCAAGGCATTGAAGAGTGGTATTAATACTTCACGTGATCTTGATTCTATCCCTCTGTTAATGCAGCCTAGCACTGTGTTGGCCTTTTGGCAGCTGCAGCACACTGCTGGCTCATATTTAGGTGATTGTCTACTAAGACTCCGAGGTCCCTCTCACAGTTACTACTATTGAGCATGGTGCCACCTATGCTGTACTTGTGCATTTGGTTTTTCTTGCCTAAATGTAGAACCTTGCTTTTTTCACCATTGAATGTCATTTTGTTAGTTAGTGCCCAGTGTTCAAGTCTGTCCAGATCCTTCTGTACCTGAAGCCTGTCTTCTGGAGTGTTGGCTATTCCTGCCAGCTTGGTGTCATCTGCAAATTTGATGAGTTCCCAATCTATCCCTTCATCCAAATCGTTGATGAAGATGTTGAAGAGTACTGGGCCCAGAACAGAGACCTGGGGCACCCCACTACACACTTCCCTCCATATAGATGCAGTTCCATTGAGGACCACTCGCTGAGTACAGCCGGTCAGCCAGCTACGGATCCATCTGGTGGTGGTTCTGTCTACCCCACATTTTTCTATCTTGTCAAGTAGTAGGTTGTGATCTACTTTATCAAAGGCCTTACTGAAGTCCAAGTAAATTATGTCCACAGCATTCCTCTGATCCACTAATTTTGTCACTTGGTCAAAGAATGCAATAAGATTTGTCTGGCATGATCTATTTTTGAAAAACCCATGTTGGCTTTTAGTAATGACTTTGTTTGCCTCTAGGTGTTCGTTGATTCGTTGTTTGATTATCTTTTCCAGGATCTTCCCAGGTATTGAAGTCAGGCTGATAGGTCTGTAATTTCCTGGATCCATTTTTTTTCCCTTTTTGAGGATGGGAACTACATCAGCTCTTTTCCAGTCCTCTGGTAGTTCCCCTGTGTTCCAGGATCTTTGAAAAATATAGTTCAGTGGCTCCGATATTACATCTGCCAGTTCCTTGAGAACTCTGGGTTGTAATCCATCTGGTCCTGGCGATTTGAACTCATCTAGGCTGGACAGGTGCTCCCTAACCATTTTCTTGCCTATCTTAACTTGTGTTTCTGTTTTGTTTTTTATGGCAGTATTTTTAATAGGTTGGTCTGTTTTTTCCCTTTGTGTAAAGACAGATGCAAAACACGAGTTAAATAGTTCTGCTTTCTCCCTGTTGTTTGTCACCTTCTTGCCACTTCCACCCACTAATGGGCCAATCGTTTCCTTCACTTTTTTCTTGTTTTTTACATGTTGAAAGAAGCTTTTTTGTTATTTTTGACTTTGGTCGCAAGCCTTAGTTCATTTTGAGCCTTGGCTTTCTTCACTTCATCTTTGCAGGCTCAGGCTATTTGCTGATCTTCTGACTTAGTTATGTTCCCCTCTTTCCACTTTCTATACTTGTCCTTTTTATCTTTCAATTTGTCAGAGAGTTCTTTATGCAGCCATGCTGGTTTCTTTTGAGAGCTGTTATCCTTCCGATCTTCCAAAGCTTAAGGATACAGGAAAGCAAACACAAAACAAATGCATACTTTACTTCTTTCCCCTTACTCTACCACTCCCTATCTCATCTCTAGAAAATATCTGCCACTACAGGGGGCATGCTATTTCTCATGCTGTCTTTCTTGTATCATCTTTTTTTCTTTCTTTCTGAAACTGGCTATAGGTATTGTGCTTTGTAATAAAAGGACAGTTGTTATACATTGCATTCTGTCTAGCTCAGGGGTCTTCAGACTTGGCTCTTTTATGACTTGTGGACTTCATCTCCCAGAATTTCTCAGCCAGCATGCCTGGCTGAAGAATTCTGGGAGTTGAAGTCCACAAGTCATAAAAGGGCCAAGTTTGAAGATCCCTGGTCTAGCTGCTGCAATAAGAAGAAAAACAAAGGATGCAAAGCTACAAATGAAACATCCAATTTCACTTGTACGCAATGTTTTGATGTGATTTAGGTTTTAACAATAAGCTTTTATACTTCCTCCTTTCTCTGACTTCTCAGGGAGAACCAAGTTCTAATTCATCCTCAGCCATGGAAGCTCACATGGGGACTTTGGGCCAGTCTCACTCCCTCAAAGCAAAAACTACTTTACAGGTTTACAGTTGTGAGGGCAGATAGGAGAAGGATGCATTTACCGTATATCCTGTATAGAACAAAAGGTATAAATCTAATAAATATTTCAATTAGCATGCCAATACTGTCATGTAGGAAACACACAGTTATGAAAACTCCACAGATGATAATACTGGTAGGACAGATATAGAAGTTCAGTTTGTAAGCCAGATTGTAAAGTCAACCACATGATTTTCTCTTAGCCATACTTTTAACTAATTAAGCCCTAAAACACTGTTTTTCAATCCTAGTTATTTTAAAGATGTATGGACTTCAACTTCCAGAATTCTCCAGCCAGCACTGCCCTAAAGTATCATTTGCAGAACACTCTTGAAATGCACAAGCTGCAGGGGCATTATAACCAAAAAAGCACCGAGTAGCTCCTTTAAGGCACTTTCATACAGGTTGACTTATAAAGCAATTCTAACATGGGAATTAAAGCCCAAGTATCTGAAAGGCACCTGGTTACTTATCTTTGATGATTTCCTCCATTCATTCAATCACTTAGATAAACTGCGATGGATCAATGATTTCATAGTAGCTACCACAAATAAATGAGTTTGGACACAGATGTGCATCTCAAGAATCTCTCTTTCAAACATCTTACATGACATTAATCCACTTCCAAGTCTGTTGCAAAAACAAACCAATAATAATAATAATAATAGACCTTTCTATATCTCATTACTGCAATCTAGTGATTATCCAGATTTAAGAAGCCCTGATCAGACCTAATGAAACATCTGAATACAACGGAGTATTTAAATGGCCCCATACTTCAGATTTCACATTATTATACTGACACCACTAGTACAGGCTGTATTTCTGAGAACAGAGTGACATAACTACCTGCAAGAAAATGCAGCTTACAGGATGTTCCCACAGAAAAAATGGTAGTTCAACACAGACCACAATCTGTAAAAAGTGGCAGTAAGTTTTTCTTCTCCACTCGTTAATATGAAGGAAGACAGAGGACAGAATACTTAAAACCAAGGAGAGATGAATATGCAATATAGATAGGGATAGTTATAAAACAGAAAGCAACCAACATATAATATTCTTTGGCATGAACTGCTGGTTGCTTATTCCTTAAATGACAGCAACATACTAAAAAGCACTCCAAGTGGAACAGAAGGGCAAAGCAAGTTTCTGGAAACCAATTTTCTCATTCTGGTTTGTTTACCAATGTCAAGTTAGAAATTGAAAAGTCCTATGGGGCTTGCCAATAATTTATAAAGCCTTGTACAAATGTCTAAACTGAACTGTACATTTTAGACTACAGTTGGAAACACCTGAATTTCATGCCGTTTCTTCTCATCTGTTTCATTTAAAGCATTATTTTGACTGTCTTTCAATGAAAGATTTCCAAGATATCTACAAAAAAGAATGTTTCCATTTTTTTTTGCATCTGTAGTGTACCCATAAAGAAAACACATTACATCCAGAGTTATAATCTTTGATTCTGCTGTATGGGCAATGAGCAGATGGAGAATAAATAATACAATGGCCTCAAACAGACAAACAGACAAACACATGACAAATACATAAATAACCTAATCCAAAAGACTGACTACTTGACATTTATTACAGCCAGCCAGAATTTCCCAAAGATATGTACTTACTCTGTGCAGATTTTGTTTTGTTTGTAAAACTTGTGCTTCGCAGCAAAGAGCCGTGAAATGTACTTGGCATTTTCAAGGTCATCCTTTTAAAACAGAAAAAGTGGAAGGGAGAAAGAAGGAAAGAGTAACACTGAATTTCACTGGGACAAACATAAAAAAGAGTTATATAAAACTGACCATGTTCCTCTAAAATATTCAGTAGGAAGAATGCTTTGCAGAAAAATATATACAAAAACCCCAAGTTTCCATCATTCAAGTTATTGTAGATCAGGGATACTAGTGCAATCTTGCCATAGCATCTGGCTCAAAGACTGGGCTAAAGAATAAATAAGGCTGCTGCATTATTAAAGTTGAGCAGGTCTTTTCCAGTTCTGTGGTTGAGAAGTGAATGTAACTGGTTCGAAGTTTCCCAAAGGCAGAGCAATATGAAAATGCAAGAATATGTTTACCTAAACTAGGATATTTATATATTGGGGAGATCAGGTTGAATCAGCATGTAGCCATTGGTTTGCCACTCCTGATCAGTTGATGGTCACGTCTCAATGGGAGATTGCTAACAGTCAGCTGGCACTGCCCTCTTCAGCCCTCATCTCCATTCATTTACTGACAGCCAACTGTTCAGCACAAAGCTCCCACTTCAATCAGTAAATACATAACTAATTTTGGGTTGCAGTTTTAGTGCAAAATTCAGCTTACTGTAAAAGGCCTTTTGAAATAAAAGGGATGGGAATACATACAGAAATGCTACTATTGTAACTTTATATTTCAAAAAAACTCCCAAGCTATTAAAGCCAAACACAAAGGGAGAGAATGCATATTTAACTGAGTGGTCCCCACATTTTTCAAACTTTATTTAAAAGAGCCCTGCTGGTGGCAATGGTTAGGATGCAACTATTATAGGCAAACTCTGCCAACAGCCTGGAGTTTGATCCTGACGGGCTCAAGGTTGGCTCAGTCCTCCATCCCTCCAAGGTCAGTAAAATGAGGACACAGATTGATGGGGAAAATATGCTGCCATTGTAAACAGCACAGAGAGTGCTGTAAAACACTATGGGGTGATATATAAGTCTCTGTAAAACACTATGGGGTGATATATAAGTCTAAGTGCTACTGCTATTATATAGTAGAGTTAGTCTAATGCCAATTTAGACAATTTGTATTACAGCCTCTCTCAAAAGGTAAACAAGACAGCATGATTTTTTTCAATCTTGCTACACCTGGTTAACATCCCTGGAAGAAGGCACCTGTTCTCTTATCATATAAAATACCTAGGTGATGTAAACATTCACCAGAATGAAGTGGAAATTCCCATTTGAGCGGCATGTCTCTTTCTGAAAAAGAACCAACAATATGCTTTGCTTTGCTTCTGTGGAACCATGAAACTACTCAAGAAAAAGTTCTAAGAAAAGAAGCCACATTTTCTTGTCTTTAGCTATAGAAGCTTTATTGCAATCTATCACTGGGCTCAGGATGTGTCACTTTTATTATTATTATTTATGATTCTGAGATTGATCTTTTATCATTTGCCTACCGTATGAAACAGCACAGTTTCTTCTTTGTTAACCAATTCTATAACAATGGAAGACTTGTTGTGTGTTATATTTCCAATATCATTCCACCTATAGAAAAATAACATGGCTTAAAGCAGGTAATGTCACTGCAAAAAAATTTCATTTGTTTATCCATTACACACACACACACACACACACACACACACACAATGACAAGGAATTTTGATCCTCCTCTCTCTCAGTTTGCCTTGCTGGGGGTTTTTGGAAATATTTTTAATGTTTGTTTTCCTTTGGTAAAGAGATTACCTCATCTTACTGAATATGCAGGAGCTATTACTTTCCAGAATTCCCATCCAGCACTGCCTAAAAGGATTGATTTGGGGGACATGAGTAATATAACTATTTAAGCTACATGTTCAGAATATTTGTTTTATTACAAGAAGAAATATTCATAAAACATTTAAGTCAAATTTCTCTTCATATAATTATAAATCCAGATAATTTTATTGCATGTACAGTGTAATCACAAATCCTGATCTTCTCAGAAGCAAAAATAAACAAATACAAATCTAGGTGTGTTTTGATGGTTCTTAGGCTTCTTGAAGGAAAAAAAAATAACTGAAGGACAAAGGAAACATTAATAAGATCAGATTTATTCATTTTTAAAGGTTTTTTCTCTATATATAAATCATGACTAATAACAAACTAATGATAGCCAAAGAACACCAATACAATATAAGCAACAGCATTATGATAAGCTAAGCACTTCGTATTTTCATTGATTTCAGTGGATGAAATCTATCCCTTAATATATACAATTCCTTTTGGATCATATAAATGTGTTATCAAGTCAAGTATGCAGCTTCCCCTGTGTATCTTGACAGCATTAAGCAGAGTATAAGGGCATTTAATCTTCCCTGCATTGTTGCCCCTCTTCTAAAACCAAAAGTTTAAAATGCATTTTGATCTAGTTTTGGTCGGATCAAATGCAAAATCCCTTCATCTTACTTTTACCTGTAGTTCACTGTGGATCTTCCCATTGGGTTCTTTAGAAAAATCCCCATGCAGAAAATTCCAAGATGCAAGTCATTTCCTTGATTGTCCTGCACAGAAAGTTAAAGATACATCAAAGTAATTTTAGCCCAAATTCTAATCTCTGAAAATATAAAGATTACAATCTTTGATTAAACCTGCCACGCAGTTCCAGCTTTTAATAGCAGTCACTTGCATCAGATAATTTCTTGACTAGATTTGTCATATAGTGCTGATAAAACAAATCAGTGGGAAAAGTCCTGGCCTTATGTCTTGTTAAAAATAAGTCTGAAAAGTGGCTGGCTTTTTTCTTTTAAGAGCATCCAAGAAACACTGCTGGAGCTACAGTGCATCAGAATAGGATTACAAATAGTCCTCAATTTACAACCGTTTGTTTAGTGATCATTCAAAGTTACAAAGGCATACAAGAAAAGAAAAAGTGGCTTAAGATCGGCCCTCACATTCATGACTGTTGCACATCCCCACAGTCACGTGATCAAAATTTGGGCGTATTTACAATGATTGCAGCCTCCCGGGATCAGGTGATTGCCATCTGCAACTTCCCCAGTCAGTTTCCAATAAGCAAAGCCAATGGGGGAAGCTGGATTCCCTTAACAACCATGGGATTTTCTTAACAACTGCAGTGATTCACTTAACAACCATAGCAAATGTTATAAAATTGGGCGTGACCCACTTAACAACTGCCTCGCTATCAACAAAAATTCCAGGTTTCCACTGTGCTTGAAAGTCAAAAACTACCTGCCTTGGTGAAGCTTGAATGACCTCAAATCATTATATTTTTTTCTCACAACCCCAATTTATTTAATTAGCCCATACACCTGTGTTTTGGCATCTCTCCTTTTGGTTTTGTGTAGCTCTGCAAAGGAACTACCATAGATGTCAGTTGCCAGATACAACTACTCCAAAAATGATAAAACGTACATCATGACTTCCCAATACAAGCTCCACTCTTCTGCTCTTATGGAATAATGTTGTACAAAAGGGATGGAGCTGCTATTGTGATAAAAGTTTTTATCACTAGCCCCCCTCCCTTTTCTGGATTCTTGCCGAAAATAACTCATGTGAAGCAGAATACAAGTTTTGTCACAGAATTTACTTGATAGAGAACAAAACTTTAAACCTCCTATATATCTTGCATTTTGGTCAGTCAGCTAAAAGTTGAATGTGGAATGTGAAAGGGTGTTAATTTCTACCCTTCGCTGCAAAAAGTCATTAACTTTGATGCAAACTGTCACAAGATCCAAACCCACAGGAGCTAGTCAAATTGTTTATTTGCTTCTATCCCTCCAAGCTATTTTGAGAATTGTCCTGATTCTTTCTATCAGCTGCAGCAGAAACAGGACTGATCTTGAGCTAGGATGAGCCTTAGGGTAGAAATGAAATTGCCCATAGCACATAAGGCAATGCCATAGTTCCATAGCCAACACAAGGAGGGGAAAATGTGTTTCCTAAAGCTACAAAAAGGCAATAATTTGAATTATTATTCATGCACACAATAATTATTATTGCTACTGGGTAAAATATGTGAATTATCAAAGGAAAAAAATCATATTAAGAAGATTACAGGAAAAAAGTACAAAAGGAAGATACTGATTGAATTTTAAAAAAAATAGGCAAGAATGTTAATTTTATTATACATACACGCGCGCACACGCACACACTTACACACACAAACATAACCAGGTCTTTTATTCTGTGCAACTAAAAGAGGTTTTGGAATGTAATGGATGGATTGTAGGTCAGTGCAGATTTGTGTATGTTGAGGTTCCAGGCACAAGGCCTCAATCTGTGGGTATCTGAAGCAAGAAGCAAAAGAGGGCAGGAGATTTCACATGTGCCATGATGTCCTCACACAAATGATGTACCATGACCAGTCAACAGGAATAAAAACAACAACAGGGGAAACAAACCTTGTAGAGGGTCATTCTAATACAGACAGACCAGCTGACTGACTCAGAATAAGATGGCATTATATGAAATGTGACAAAAAGCCAGCAAGAACATTGTACTTGCTCACTTCACAATTGCAGAAGAATGCAATGAAAGTACTGCAACTGTACATATTTTGAATATTCCTTTTCTTTTTAAAAAGGGGCCAAAATAATGAGCTAAAACCAAGGCTACAAATAGACAGAAAGAAAAGTTTAAAATGCTGCTGGTTTTCGGTTTGTGAAGATTAGGATAGCCAGGTGCAACAGAGAATGAGATTCTCGCTTTATTAACAGTAACACCTTGCCTACAGAAGTTATAGGTGCTTCATCGCTGGAGGTTTTTAAGAAAAGACTGAACAGTCACTTGTCTGAAATGGTGCATGGTCTCCTGCTTGAGCAGGGAGCTGGACTAGAAGACCTCAAGGTCCCTTCCAGCTATTCTGTTCTTTTGCTCTGCTCTGCTTGTTCTGTTCTATTCTAATGTGGAAAGTACATGGCCAAATGAGCTTCCCTCTTTTCTTTAATGATTCAAAGTATGGCATCTGGCCTTAAATGTGAAAAAAAAAATTGAGACCTCCCAATGTAGTCTAAAGAGGTACAATTCATTCTACACTCCACCATTTAACACTTCACGGTCCTGTGTTTGTAAACCAGATCTGACATGTGATCTGGAGTTCAGATTTGATTTACTACCTTGTAGATGGAACAGCTTATCCTTTGCTGTACAAAGAACATTTGCTAAAATGCCACAGCTCCATTTCAGTGGCATTTATATGCATATTTCTGTAAGGGTCTTTAGCAATTTGGAAAATCCTGTGAACACGTTTTGGTCTCTTTGACCATTCATTCAGGGACAGTTCAAAATTACAATGCTGACAAAATGGATTTACAAACTATGCGTATAATTACATCCACTGCAGCACTCTGATGGTCACAAATTTGATTTCTTGGCAGTGTGCTTATCCTTAAGATTGCAAGGGCGCTGCAAGTCACCTCAATACCTTCCTATGTTCTGCTTATCTGACACACACACACACACACACACACACACACACACACCCTGTTCTGTGGCAGTAGGCTGCAATGTACGGCTTGAAGTAGAGGCCCAAAGCTTTAGGAGTCTCAGCCAACTGTCCTGCCCCAGTTTCTACAATACAACAACCCTAACACAATTGCCATTCAGAAACATGCCTAGCATTATTCTCCAAGGCACATAAGCTGAAGGCCCATGAGAATCTGCTCCAAGATACTTCAGAAAAAAAAAAAGCCTGGTGTGACTGAGAGTTACCTTGGATAGACCACACAGGCCTCTTAACACAGGAGTCTCCAACCCCGGGCCGTGGCATTGTACTGGGCTGCAGCTTGTGAGTACGCATGCACAGGTGAGTACACATGCACAGCTCCATTTGCGTGAACGGTGGGCACTCTCTCTTGTGCACACAGCTCCATCACTGAAATGCGATTTCAATCTGAATTTCCCTCGACAAAGTCTGATACCTTAATCACAATGACATATTAATTCTCAGGGGCAATAGCTGAGACTGGCTGCAGCAGGACTGATCCCAAACCTTTAATGCTAAACAGATAAAAACTTTTTATCCCTTCTTCCAAATTAGCCTCCTCCTCCTCCTTCTCATAGCAGCATAGCAGCATTACTTGAATGGCTAACATTTATCTATTTAGATGTTTTTTACTTTTTTACTTCACCAATATAGTATAAGCACTAATTCCTTACCTTCACAGGAAAACTTTCCTGCCCAAATCCATCTAATCGTTCCACTTCCCTGATGTAAAGCAATTCTGCTTCTGCTGCAGAAAGGCTGCTGCAAATAAAATTAACAGAAATATCATATAGGATTATTAAAAAGGCCAAAGATTTTAACATTCTCTTTGCCTGGATTTATTTTCTTAATCAGTTCACATGGCTGCTCATCTCACAAGGGTGACTGTGGACAGCTAACATTAAAAAAAAGCCCTCTCATAACATAAAAAGATCAGAATAAAAAACAGGTAATAGCTTCTGGGGACAACACAATAATTATCAAATTGTATTGGATAATTACAATATTCATGTGTCTTCTGTCCATCAAGTTATCCAAATATTGTAAATACACGCTAAATCTAAGCAAAATCAAAGGAAATATTATAATGGTGTAGATGCTATTAATCCAGTTCCTAGATGTCATTGAGTTAACTTCTATATCTGATTAAGCTAAATGCGTATTTCAGTGTACTATTTGCCACTCATTTAGCAAATAGCTTTAGGCAATCTACCACTTTACCCTAACACCCTATCAATAATACAAGGACAAAAACATGTACTTCCCTTATAATCAGTAATTTGCATGAAAATTGACAAAATTCAGAAATACTCAGCAAAATTAATGAACTTTGCCCCAAAGTGGCCAAATACCTTTGAGAAATCTTACAAGGGCATCAGAGAAAAACTGTGCCCTTATTGTTTCTTCCCTTAATCTGTTGTAAGTTTCATTTAAGTAACATGACTGACGTGGGAACAAACATTCTTTTCCTGAGACATGAAGTTCCGTGCAACGTAAAGTTATTGCCTAAATTAGAAAAATAGCTTATTGTAAGAAATAGTCTATTGGCTGAATAGTAATTTATATTGACAGCAATGTAATATTAATAATTTGGGAACCAAACCTGTGATTTTTGTGTTCCTGGACTACCTTCTGAATCAATTCCTCCAAAATGGCTTCATTTTGAATCAAATCCTGCAAAATAAATTGATAACAAAGAATTGTGTTTATTATGAATAAAGGAATTTAAAGAATCAAGCCTTTAATTTATTCAGACAATTTGCATGCCCCCTTAATAATACAGTGGTATTAAAATATCAAGAAAATAACAGTTACAAAAAAAAAGAAACTGAATTGCTAAAAAAGTACAAGATGCACAAAGGGGAGATTAACAACACATACTATTCCTCACAAAACTATCATATTGTATTACAGCAGCCCAAATGTCAGGACCATATTGATCTCCATAGCACTGCTACAGAAAAGGCATGTCACCTAAAACCCACAAGGCAAAGTGCTTTACATCTGGTTCTGGCATGGCCAAATCTTCCAGAAACCCACCACAGCTCATAGAATAATGGTATTATGGGTTTGAAATGAGAAAGGTCAGTAACTGCTCATGCGGCTGCATTTTGATTGAACCAGCTGTAGTTTCCAAGTAATCTTCTCCCCATCCAGATTCATCGACTCCATGTACTAGGGCAGTGGTTCTCAACCTGTGGGTTGGGACCCCATTTAGGGTCGAATGACCATTTCACGAGGGTCGCTAAACAACGCAGTCCACCATTTCCCCCCCTTTTCCTTAGCTGTGCTACTCCCTTTTATTCTATTGGCTTTTGAAAGCCAATAGAATAGACTCTCTTGAATAGAGTCTAATTCTATGGGCTTTCAAAAGCAATAGGAATTGTCCAGGCTGTCTCTGCCCTGCTGAGCCCGCCAAAAGTCCCATTCTGCAAACGGTGCTGCACCAGTTGAGTAGTCCTCGACTTACGACCGGTTGGGGGGTCACGGCATTAAAAAGGTTGAGAACCACTGTACTAGGGCAAAATCTCCACAGCATCATTTATTCAGCTTAGAGTTGAGATGAAAAATTGTGTATCTAATGCATATCGGCATTAACTTTGTTCCAGTAGATAATCTTGCCCAGCTGCCTTTTGTGTATGTTGAATAGGAGTGGTTATTCAAATATGCCAAGTTTATGAAGATAAAGTTTATAGTATCTTCATTTCTGTGATGGAACAAAGTGCTTCAAGTTTTAAGGAAACTTTACTGCAATCACTTATTGGTTTGTGTAGCTGTCTTTCATTTGCTCCCAAGAAACAAAACGACTCAAAGTTACATACTCTAACACAAAGTTATATTAAATCAAACATTCTAATAAGTCAAGATCAATTTGGGAATGGTAGAAGTGTGAAGAAAATATTCAAATATTCTAAAAGTTATGGGAAGAAAATTAAACAGGCCTACAAACTGAGCAAACATAAACTGTGTCACTTCAGTACAAGGGGCAGAAAAGCTCTGCCTTGAACAAAATCCTGAAGGTAAACTCATCTTTCCTGATAAACATTTTAAGCATACCAACAGAAAATCCCACCCCACAAATAAGTAAGACACTTTAAATTTAGCCATACATTTGAAAGCCATCCGACTTCAAATACCTACATATTATCTGTACCTCAAAACAAGCTTTAAAGCAGTGTTTTTCAAAGTTGGCAACTTTAAAATGTATGACTTCAATGCCCATAACTTACCAACCAGAATGCTGGATGGGGAGTTCTGGGAGTTGAAATCATGCATTTTAAAGCTGCCAGGTTTGAAAAACATTGCCCTAAAGTATGAAAATCAGACAAAGGCAGAAGGAAATCAATGCAAAACTAGTCCTCTTAAGCCATGCTTGTTGCAAGGCAAACCAGCAACTGCTATCCCAAGGCATTAACCATTTTACTGGGAAAACAGGAAATTGTTTTATGTCTTCTCATATGATTGGTCCAATTAAGTCAGTAGTTCTATTTTCTACAACCTGGCATGCTCTAGTATAACTAGGAATCCTGGCAGATGTAGTTCTAGTCATCCAAAATATACTAGATTGCAGAATGCTAATTTGCAGATCTCCAGAGCTTTGAAGAAGGTCTTTCTCAGCTGTACTTGGTGAGGTGAAGGACTAGAACAGTGTTTCTCAATCTTGACAATTTTAAGGCATGTGGACTTCAACTCCCAGAATTCCATTGCTGGCTGTGGAATTCTGGGAGTTGAAGTCCACATGCCTTAAAATTGTCAAGGTTGAGAAAAACTGGACTAGAACCTGGCAATTGTTCTCACTTGCTAGGTTATAAAAATTCCTCCTGAGCATAGTGATAATTTATTTCTAAAACTAAATACATCCTACAGCAAAAAAGCACAAAAAATTATAACAGCTTATTAATTGTGAAAAATGACTAGAACTTTCAAGGTGGCGAAAAAAAGAACATGAAAGATTAATTTCTTTTTTTACTTGTTGGCCATTTAGGACAGCTTAGTATTATGTGACCAAAAGTATTGCAACCTATGTTATTTGGAAGGTGTCATATCTATAATTCTGAATACCCCTAGAGCAGGCATGTCAAATTCGCGACATCACATGACATTGCACGACGCATCGGAACTTTTTCTCCATTGCCAGCAATGGGGTGGACGCGGTTTCGCCCTGACGCATCTGGCCCACGGGCCGACAGTTTGATATGCCTGCCCTAGGGTGTCATACCTATAATAATCATCACCAAGAACCATAACTTTAGCTTTAAACATGGTCTCCATGTGCTGTATGTAAAATTAGTGGGTATAATGAATGATACAAATGAAACATTCTTTCTTTCTTTCTTTCTTTCTTTCTTTCTTTCTTTCTTTCTTTCTTTCTTTCTTTCTTCCTTCCTTCCTTCCTTCCTTTTTCTTTTCTTTCTTTTTAGTAATTACTGTGAATGGAATGCCCCACAGGTGTGTATTTATACTTAAAACAAAATGCCTGGCTTCTTGTTCCTGACACTGAAAAATGTAAAACAGTGCAAATGAAAAATGGCACTGTACGTGCCTGTACATAACTACACACCTGTGAGCTGTTCTGTGTACATAACTTTATTCTTTTCACTGCTGGAGAAATGTTGTTTCACACATACTGAAGCAGTACAAGATAAAACAAAACAGAAGTGCAAAATACAATGCAAGCTATATTCAATCCCACTGTGCCCATTCAACAGGCTTGCTAGTAATTAACTAAAATAGTCCTTATAGATATTTAATTTACTACATTGGGCAGTTGTTGCTAAAGAACAAGGCTAGCTAAAGCTACTGCTTAGAGCAGACTGGATTAGATACTTGATTAATTGATTGTCAGCATGTAAAAACAGCATCATTTTAGCTTCAGAAGATACACAGGAGTTTGCTGACAATGAGAGATTTACTTCAAATACTAGATACAACAGAGCGGTTACATCCACTATCTGTTTCAGAATACAGAGACACATTAAAGGCTAATATTCAGGTCTGGGCACCCATCTACTGCATGACAAACAAATCACTTTTTTTAAAAAAAAAAACCAGAATCACAACCATTCTACAAAATATGCTCCATATTCTCCTGATTTTCTCTGGAGATGGACGTAGAGGTTTCAATAAATTATATAAGTATCTTTAAAAAAAATGGTACATGCCTTTCAAAAGAATGTTTTACCCACCCTTACGTTTCATTTCTTAACATCCTCTGTATGGAGAGTTCTACATTTCAAAGAAAGGCTGTTTATTATCATTGGTGTAAATGACTGACTTGAAATTACTGAAAGCTGCTAAAAGGCAGGTAACTTTGTAGGCCTAGGCATGGGAAGTATTTTTGAACTGCTTTTTATTTTGTTTCACTGTAGAAAAACAATGGGCTAAATTTTGATAAAGCACCAACAATATACTGAAATAAAGTCCATATCCATATAGATGTACATTGTAATTTCCATTCAGGTTTTTTTTAATGCAGGTTATATGTACAGTAACTCATTTTCACTCTGTCTTGATCGCTAAATACACATTATTGCTTATAGCAAAGTATACAGCTATGAATTTTTTTCTTTTGAAATTATTTATATGGAAATAGGAATGATTTTGGCAAAGACAAAGCAATACTCAAAGCTAAGAGGATTGCCTTTCCATTTCCAGCCATGCATGATCTTGGAAACACTTGTAGCTTCTACTGCTACAAACAACAACAGAAAATTCCCTATTGCCATAATGATTGCTTGTTAAAAAAAAATGAACATCCATAGACATGCAGGGAGATTTTCAAGTAAGGGAATAATTATAATGGATTAGATTTCAAATTTATTAAATTTGTCCACTCTCTGATTGTCCTTCATTTAAGAAAGAAAATTGTTCCAGTAGTACCTCATGTTAGCTGAGGACGGCAAACTTAACATTCTTGATTTGACACAAATCGGGAAGTTATTATACATGTTAAGAGCGCACGGTGGCATTTCATATGCCTATTACAAAAGCTTTGTAAAATAAGCAGGCTCAGAGTCATCAAGAAAACTGAGTAACTGTGGATTATAATCTGAATCTCCCCAATATTAATCCAGCACCTTAACCACTATATCACATTAATTCTCAGTTTATAATCCAGCTTTCTTCCTGGACCTCAAGTAAGCATTCATAATTCCCCCTTCTCATCCCAGTGGTTATTAACCTCACCCAACAACTTGACACAGATATGGTTGGTCTTCAACAACTTCATCACTGGACTACACGGGCTCCTCCAATGTGAAAACTCAGATTCCTTCATTTGCACCACATTTAAGTTTAATATGATTTCTAAACTCTGTTATGTGTAGCAATAATTTTAATTTGTTACTTTTAAAACTTTTAAAAATGTTTTATATTAGCATAACTTTTTTTCAAAGAGATGAAAGTACCTAAGTAAAGTAAATATCAAGTAATTTTTGGTGGAGGCATTATTAAAACCGTATCACGAAAGTAGGACCATCAGAAGGATAAATGTTTACAGAACCACCCTTGAAATTAAAAGGGATGACTTTGAACTAGAATTCTTATCATTTCCACCCACTTTTGACCCACTTGACTTAAGTATCTCAGAAAAAAACTGTTTGGGGAAGGACTGTCACAGTGATGGCTTCTCTGTGGAGGTGTCTACATTCCAGAATAGCTTTCTTTCAGAAATCTGATCAGACACTCCCCCCCCCCCCATTTTCTAAAATTTATTAAAAAGTGCAGTTATTTGGACAGGCTTGGAGGCATTAGTTAAGCCATCCAATTGAGTAATGGTGAGAATTTTTTTTTAAAAAAAAATCAATTTTTATCGTGGACACTTGATTGTATTTTTAATCCATACATGAGAATTGCCAATTTACCACTGAAGAATCGTTTCTTTTGACTGCAGTGGAATACAAATTCAATAAATAAATTCATGAAGAGGGGATGGTGGGAAGATGGGAAGTTAACTCACCATAGGAAACAAAACATACTGCCGGAGATCATGAGATTCAAAATGAGGGTAGTCTCCAAAGCCAACTGGATGGGAAAAAGAAAGAAAGAGGAATTGAGAAACAAATTGCTTCAGCTTTTACTACATATGAAACTCTTTCCTAAAAGGTTCTTCAATGGTTTAACCTGGAATAAGCATATTTAGTTTGAAATCCTTGACTATGAAGGCACAAAATTGTTTGTCTCACCTAAAAAGTACAGTTATGGGGCTTGTATTCATTTTTTTTCTTGAAGGGGATTTAGATCTTTCAAATGGAGGGAGGACAAAAATTCATACTCAAATTCCTTCCTTTCCCTATTTTATATATTAACAGTGCTGGATTATTTTTCATAAGTAGAACAGAACTGTTTGAAATTCAGTTGTAGTCCCATAATAACAGAAATAATTTCCACTGTATACTTGAGGAAGGATACATGCTTACATTTGAATGTTTCCAATGGTTCCAGAGAAGTTTTGGTGAAAAACGGGTAAAAATAAAGGTTTGACTATGTTAGTGGAAGTCTTCCCATTGACCAATGGATTTCACCCTATATTTCACTTGCATTCAACATAGAATGACATTGTCAGACCCAGCACACTACCACCCTGGCCGCTGCCAACCTGGCCGGCTGCAGCCTCCAGCCTGCGCCGACGGCGAACGCGTCCTAGCGGTTCCGGCGGAACGGCACCCACACCGCCGGCGTGATCCGCGTGCAGCCAGCTGAATGTGCATGTGACGACATCACGTGAAAGCCAAAACGGAATGGGGGTTGCGGGCAGGAGCTATGCAGTGACGCTGGGTCTGACAGGATCTAATATCAGTTAGGGCGTGGGAACCGGACTTGTTTCACGGGGCTTGCTGCTGTGGGACTGACTGACTGAGGATTTGTTTCATGGGGCTTGCTACGGTGGAGGTTAACACAGGGTGGGGTGGATGGGTGGATTATAGGCAGGGTTTCCTTATAAGGCTTGATGAGGGTGTGTGCTATGGGTGTAGCCCGGGACGGCATATAGTGCGCGGGCTTGGAGCCTCCCCCAGGGTAAACTTTGTTTCCTGCAACGTGCAATAAACTTTGTTGGATCCTGGAGCGTGCCTGGTGTATTGTTTGCCTGATTCACTCAAGGACGTTCCTTACAGTAAGTTTACCCTCACTCATCCTTTTGCTTGCTGCTCGACGCCGGTTACCTGCAGTGTTATGGCGGAGGGAACACAAGGGGCAGACCCGGTGGAGACCGCAGAGGCGGCGGAACCCGACGAACAGCTGGAGAGCCCGGATGTCGGCAGCGCAGCAGTCGAGCAGCCAATAGTGCGGCCAAAGGAGAGGGTTCGCATTCCGGAGATGCTGGAACCAAGTTTAAAGCCGCAACGCCCGGGGGGGGGCGAGGCCGACTGGTGGCTAGGTTCGGCGTGGGGAGGACCAGAGGACAATAGGGGGCGGCGGTTAGCGCCGAGTTTCACCGGATGGAGGGAACGTCGGGTGACTGGGGATCTAGAGGAGGAATGGAGCTGCTCCACGGCTCCAGGACAGTATACCTTAGATGTGCTAAGAGAGCAGTTTGGAGAACGTCTCCACCCCGCAACACTCCGTAGTCCTGTTAGGGACAGTCCGTCCTATGCCTCCCGTTTCCGTCTGTCCAGTCCAGGATTGGATTTAAAATCAAGCGACCAGTTTGCGTTCCAGGACCCTGGCCCGGGGCGGGTTGAAGCGGAACGACCCCGTTATAGCCTGGGACCACGCCCGGCGGCAGGACAATCTTTAGGTACTGACAGACAAAGGGCAGGGTCCATGGGGGAGGGGTTTCGCCCTACACCTCACCCGGGGATTGCCCCCTTCGGAGGTCAGGCGCCAGCCCCATGGCCACAGAACATGGTATGGAACCCCCCCCCGATCGCCCTCACATTCGATGGTGACTCAGATCGGCTAGCAGTGTTCCTGAGCCACGTGCTAAACCACTTGGACCGCTATACCACCTTATATTCCTCCAATTGGGCGATGGTGGTGGCGGTCACAGCATGCTTGCAGGGTGAAGCCGCTGCTTGGGCCGCAGATCTATACAGCGACCAGGCCGGAGAGTTGACCGACGTAGGGCTGTTCCTCGAGGCGCTGAGAGCAAGGTTCGACGACCCAACCCGGTTACAAAGAGCTGAGGCCCAAATAGTGGGGTTAAAGCAGAGGGGTAGACCGGTGAAGACCTATATCCGCGAATTCCAAAAGGCAGCTGGGAGGCTGAGGTCGTGGCCGGATCGGTTACTGATTCACCACTTCCAGGCTGGCTTGGATGCGGACATACGTCGCGCCTGTGCGGTGAGAGGAGTTGTGGGACGCCTGGCTGACTGGTTTAAAGCAGCCCAGGAGTTGGAATTTGGACTGAGGGACCGTCCTGACGTACGTGCCGACAGGCCGCCCGCACGTCGTGCTCCGGACCGATCCGGGGAGGGCAGTACACAAGCCATACCGGGTACCACCCGGCCGAAGCCCGTATTCAGGTGCTTCCGCTGTAACCGGCCGGGTCACCGGGCCGCGGAGTGTGGGATAACAGATCTAACCGAACTGACCGGGACGCCAACGGCAATCGGAAGACCGGGCGTTACGCCGAAGAGAACTGCGGAGAAGTCCCGGGTTGCATCCCAGACGGCTCAGACATCGTTCCACCAAACCCCTGGTGATACGACCCCAGTGCTCCACGAATATGAGGAGGAAGGCCAGGTGGAGGATCCTATGGTAAGTGAACCGATAGTCCCGTTTAACATTCCGATAACATTGACTAGCCCGGTCACTGGGGAGACAAAATCATTCCAGGCTTTGGTTGACACTGGCTGCACCAGATGTCTCATTAGCAAGGAGGTGGTGTCCCAGATGCATATCAGGGTGACCCGATTGAAGTCCCCCATTCGCTTCGAGCAGGTGGATGGATCCGTATTAGGAGGGGCCCCGACTACGCTTGTGACTGAACCCGTTAGGATGGAAGTAGCCGCGCATTGGGAGATGTTGAGATTCATAGTAGTTCCATCCATGTCAGAGGCTATTATCCTGGGGTTGGCGTGGTTGGATAAGTGGACACCAACCATATGGTGGGCAGATGGCTCCCGCCATCTACGCCTCACAGCAGGCCCTCAACCACCGGTCCCGGAGCGGTATAATAGCAACATGAAAGGGGAAGGGGCAGATCACATAACGGAGGGGAACCAGAGCGAGTACCCAGCAGTGTACGAGGATCTTGCTATGGTCTTTAGTGAGCGGGAGTGCGACAGCCTGCCTCCCCATAGGCGTACAGATTGCGCGATTGAACTTATCCCTGGGGCGAAACTACCAAAGGCCCGAATGTACCCAATGACGTTTACGGAGTTACAGGAGATGAGGCAGTACGTGGATAAGAACTTAGCCAGAGGATTTATAGTACCAGCACGGTCCCGGATGGCCGCCCCTGTACTGTTCCAGGGAAAGAAGGATGGGGGTTTAAGATTATGTGTCGACTTCCGCGGTCTCAATGCGGTGTGTATAGAACAGGTGTATCCCCTGCCCCTTATAAAAGATCTTCTGACCCACTTGGCTACTGGAACCATCTTCACAAAGCTGGACCTCCGTGAAGCTTACTACAGGGTTCGCATCAGGGAGGGCGATGAGTGGAAAATAACCTTTAACTGTCCGCTAGGCAGTTATCAGTTCAAAGTAATGCCATTCGGGTTACAAGGGGCCCCGGCTGTGTTTATGCAGCTGATCAATGAGGTGCTGCACGACCACTTATACAAGGGTGTCCTCGTGTATCTGGATGACATCTTAATCTACTCACGATCACTAGAAGAACATGTGGAATTGGTGCGCATAGTCCTACGAAAATTGTTAGACGCTCAGTTGTACTGTAAAATATCGAAATGTGAATTCCACAAGGAGCGTATTGACTATCTTGGCTTCAGAGTGTCGGCGGCAGGGATAGAAATGGATCCCAATAAAGTAAAATGCGTATTGGAATGGCAAGCGCCAAAAACCCGTCGTCAGCTACAGCGGTTTCTAGGATTTGCAAACTTTTACCGGCAGTTCATCCCCTCCTTCGCCGACGTGGCCCTGCCGCTGACTCAGCTGTTGCGCACCAAGCGAGTAGCCGGAAAACCTCGCCCAGGACAACCTCTTGTCTGGACTATGGCCTGCCAACAGGCTTTCGAGTCCCTTAAGGGACTATTCGCACGAGAACCCATTCTGATACACCCTGATCCAGGCCGACCATTCGTCGTACAGGCCGACGCCAGCGATGTCGCCATTGGGGCGATATTGTTGCAACGTAATAAAGACGGACTTCTACAACCGTGCGCCTACACGTCCAAAAAGTTCACGGACACGGAACGCCGCTGGGCAGTGTGGGAGAAGGAGGCGTTTGCCGTGAAATGGGCCCTGTCGACATGGCGTCATTTGCTGGAGGGCGCACAGCATCCCTTCGAGGTGTGGACAGACCATCGAAATCTAGCGGTCCTCCAAACCCCAAGAAGATTAGCACCCAAACATGTGCGATGGGCGCAATACTTCCAACGGTTCAACTTCCACCTGAAAGTCGTTCCGGGAGGAAAGAATTTCCTGGCCGACGCGCTATCCCGGCTGCCACAGTACAATAGTAACAGAGAGCAGGTGATTCACGCTATCATACCTCCGTGTGATCCGGGTCCCGGCCTGCCTGAGAAGGGTGCACGGTTAGGAGCTTTCGAGGATGGGCTGAGATCGGCTTTGTTAACAGACCCCTGGATTTTAGCTAACCCTGGGGTCTTGAGTCGTCGTGATGGGTTGGCCTGGTATGGGGATAAGCTATACGTTCCGTTGGCACTAAGAAACCGAGTGTACCACAGATGTCATGACTCGAAAACGGCCGGCCATTTTGGATTCGTAAAGACACTCCATCTAGTGAGACGTCAATTCTGGTGGCCAGGGATGAGGAAGGATGTTGAGGAATATGTCAAACAGTGTCACCTTTGCGCTCAAGCGAAAACGGTACCGAAAAAACCCATGGGCTTACTACAACAGGTATCGGACCCGGACCGGCCATGGCAGGATCTCGGGATGGACTTCATTGTGGACTTGCCAAACGTGAGGGGTTACACGGTGATCTGGACAGTGGTGGATCTTTTTTCTAAGCAGGCCCACTTCATCCCCTGCAAGGGTCTGCCATCTGCAAAACGCCTGACGAAATTGTTTGTACAACATATTTACAGACTACATGGGGCACCCCGTCGAGTTATTTCAGATCGTGGTGTGCAGTTTACAGCCCGCTTCTGGCGAGGTTTCCTAGCCAGTATTGGAACCACACAAGGATTGAGCTCGGCATACCACCCCTGTACCAACGGGGCGGCGGAACGGGCAAATGCAGCCATTGAACGGTACCTGCGCTGTTATGTATCGTATCAACAGCTGGATTGGGTGGACTATGTTCCATTTGCTGAACTGGCATATAATAATGCAGTGCATAACAGTACCGGTCTAACCCCATTTCAGGTTGTTTATGGGTATGATGTGGTCCCCTTACCCGATTGTGTGTCACCAGACCCCCCTCTACACCGATCAGAGGGGTGGTTTGCTCGAGCAGGCCAGGTGTGGCGTAATGTAAGGCAGGCATTAGACCAGGCGACACAGGTGGCTAAGTACCACGCCGACAAGAGACGTCGACAACCGGTCCAATTCCGTGTGGGGGATAAAGTATACTTATCAACCAAATATGTTAAGTTGCAGGTCCCCTGCAAGAAACTGGCACCAAAATATATCGGGCCCTTTCGCATAGCACAAATCATCAATCCGGTAACAGTGAGGCTCGAATTACCAAAGCTTCTAGGAAAAATGCATCCGACATTTCACGTAAGTTTATTGAAGCCGGTGGGGAGGACATCCCATGGACAACCCCCAGGCCCTGTCACCCCAGGACGGTACGAAATAGAGGACATAGTTGACTCGCGACTACGGGGTAATAGACTATACTACCTGGTCGTGTGGAAGGGGTATCCTTTGTCTGAAGCCTCCTGGGTATTGAGTGGGGATGTATCCGCCCCCGAGCTAGTTAAAAGGTATCACAAAAGGGTACAACACGGAGCGCGGCGGGGGCAAGAGGACGGTTGATTGGTGTATCTGGCCAAAAGGTACACGCGGTGACTCATCTATTACCTTTGTTTCAGGGGGAGTTGTGGTGAGGGGAAGCCGAATGTCAGACCCAGCACACTACCACCCTGGCCGCTGCCAACCTGGCCGGCTGCAGCCTCCAGCCTGCGCCGACGGCGAACGCGTCCTAGCGGTTCCGGCGGAACGGCACCCACACCGCCGGCGTGATCCGCGTGCAGCCAGCTGAATGTGCATGTGACGACATCACGTGAAAGCCAAAACGGAATGGGGGTTGCGGGCAGGAGCTATGCATTGACGCTGGGTCTGACAGGATCTAATATCAGTTAGGGCGTGGGAACCGGACTTGTTTCACGGGGCTTGCTGCTGTGGGACTGACTGACTGAGGATTTGTTTCATGGGGCTTGCTACGGTGGAGGTTAACACAGGGTGGGGTGGATGGGTGGATTATAGGCGGGGTTTCCTTATAAGGCTTGATGAGGGTGTGTGCTATGGGTGTAGCCCGGGACGGCATATAGTGCGCGGGCTTGGAGCCTCCCCCAGGGTAAACTTTGTTTCCTGCAACGTGAAATAAACTTTGTTGGATCCTGGAGCGTGCCTGGTGTATTGTTTGCCTGATTCACTCAAGGACGTTCCTTACAGACATTCCTGTCAAAGATTTCCTTTGCTTTTGTAAGTTTCAGAATTGGAGAAAAAGAGTGAAAATACTTCTTAAAGTACTTATTCTTAAAAATATACTTTTACAATATTTTTATGAAAGGTTCTCCATTTATCTCTTTTTAAACAGTTTCATGCTTAAGACAGAGGGGCAAAATGCCCAGGAGCTTTCTTTTTATTTTATTTGAGTAAAGTCTGCCAAAAAGATTTTCAGTACTGGAAATTCCCCTTATGAATTATTCCAAACAAAATATTCCTGTAGACCCATAAGGGAAATTTGACATTATTATTGCATGGTATTTCGTTTTGTTTCACATCATAAATATACATTTTTATAACCAATAAATATAAACTTGTTGAATACACTAAGGTGATATGTATACAAACAACAAAAATGATAGAGTACTAAAGAAAAGCTTTTAGGAATTCTCTGTGTATCAGTCAAGAACAATAGCATAAAATTAAAAATGTGAGTATATGGATTTATGAATGCTCATATCATTCTGATAATAAAGACTTATTTCATTTCAATCCATAATCAAGATTTTACAAATATGATTTGAGAAAGCACATGCCTCATTTAATTGATACATGGAACAATGATTTCATCTGTGATAAAGCTTTAGCTAATTTTAAAGATACAAACATCCTCTCCTATTTTATACTAAACATTCCTTTATGACTACAATGTTTAAAGGCAACAAATTAGTTTAAATTCTGGTTAGTGAGAAGAAGCCAGAAGCAGAAACTGCCTTTTTCTTAATTTATTCCTCTTAAACACATTTTAAACAATCTATAGCTTTCTCAGTTTGATTTCTGGGTAACTTTAATTAGTCTTCCTCTAGTGTGCTAAAAGGGTGAAGGGAGTTTGCAAGCCTGAGCTTTATAAACGTGGTAGGAAACTTGGTATATTTGTAAAATCCATTGCTTAAACACATTTGCAGAAATCCACTGATTACATGCAAAATGTATGAAAAATGGTAGAAGCAGAACAGAAGATTGCATAGCTAAAGAGATACATGACTTGTCTTCTTTTTAACTCACTTTCTAATGCTGCAGTGGAGGAAAAAGACATGAATCATGAATTCAAGCCCCATCCTATTTATTTCTAACCCTGATCCACTAACCTTTTTCTAGTGTAGTTCACTAATAAATTTGGATGAGTATCCAACTTATGGCATTAGTACAAAAATAATTACGTATTTGCATGCTATGTTAGGATATTCTCAAACTATAATACACCTTAATTATGATCTTCATTCTCAGTTTCTTGCAAGAATCCTAAAAACTTCCTCTTCAGTAAAAAGAGAAAATGGTTCATTCAAATGGATGACTCATTTATTTCAGGAATTATTGCCACTTAATGCCACTAATGTTTCCAAAATATACAGTATTAAGCTTTTAAGAATGCAGATCAGTGTCAATGTTTTCCCTAAGGAGTTGCCATCTCCAGTTTAATAGGAATGTATTGCTATAGTTAAATAAATAAATAAGATGGGGAAAGAATGGGCACATGTGCTCCTGTACCTTGAGCTGCCAATGTGGCTTGAACGCCCAGTGCCGCCAACCTTATCCCTTGTTCAAATGAAGATCGCAATCGTCCATCAATAACATCTTTTTTTACTTGAAGATAATACTGGTACCTGTGAACAAGGGACAGAACAGAATGAAACCGAGAGTACCTGAACATATATTTTTTTTCTCAGTGAGTTTTAAGTATTGATAGGGCTGTTCTGTTCTGTATAAGTAAAAGGAATATTGAAGGTGATACTTACGGCTAAACTATGTGGGCATTGCATTTTGTATTAAGTAGGCAAGGATGACTATTTCACCCTGACCCAAAAAATATTTTTAATGGCATATCTACATGGCAATATTGAAAGGGTTTGAACAATACCATCTCCTAATTTTGGAGAACCTGTACCTTAATCTCCTCTTAGTCTTCTCTCTACTGAGGTCACTTTCAGACAGTACCATCAGAAATTAAAAGCAAAACTGGGCATTTTGATACCAGCTAAACTGAGAAGCATCTGGTAAACATCAAAGGATTTTCTTGGGTGAGCAATGTATTATCTACAAAGAGGTTAGGAAGATTGACTTGCTTATGTCTTTGATTATAAGGGAAACAAAAAGAATCTGCCTTTACAATACTGTTTATGCATTTTTACAATTTCTGCTAATATTGTAAGGTGATCCTGTGATCTTCTACGACTGAAATGCTTCTTTGCGTATGCAAAAACCAAAGGAAAGGTCTATAAAAAGTAAACTCTACATGCATAAAGTACACTAATCAATTTCAATTTCTAACCAAAAGTATTACTTTTCATAAATGTCCTTTTCCTATCACCTTCAAACTTAACAATCTTTTGAATTACTTAGAAGAAACTTCATTAAAATTAATGGGATTTATTTTTGAGTTGACATGAATAGCTTTACACCACTCATCAGTAACTCAATTGGAGCAATTAAAATGTTTCACTTTTTAAAGAAAAGTGTTGCCAATTAATCAGGTAACTTTTAAAATAACCCACTTTTTAAAATGGTTGTTGAGGGACTTAGTTTTGCAAGCTTTTGGCTTAGTTGATATAACCCAACATAGAGATTCATAACTTAAGGTTGCCAAAACTTTAGGTGTGACCCCAGAGTCCTGAAAGTTATAATTTTAATATGATAAATGGAGAGAATTATTAGAAACATGAGAGTTAAGTTTTTATTTAGTTTTTTTTACTAGTCATAGTCACTTTCTAGAGTGCTATTACTTGCAAATCATACAAAGGGTCAGTTTTTGAAAAAACATACTCTCCAATTCATTTTTTTGATTCAATTTAGATACTGCCCAAATCCAATTAATTCTGGACAGTTCACAAATAAAAACACAAAAATACAAACCAAACCCAATTTTACTCTGCCAAACATTTTTAATACTGCAGTTTAGATACTATACATTATATTGCATTAGAAAACGATATCATTGAGATACCAGCCAAATTAGCCTGGTTCTGTGTGTGTGTGTGTATTTTGCCACAACAAAAGCACAATCCCACAAACCCCTGCCCTGCATATTTATATGACTAACAAGATAAAACACAAAGATGTATTGCAATGATACTGGAATATTTGACTACATTTTTGAGTGAGTAATTTCTTATTATAAGATGAACATAACTTGGTATCTAGAAATTCGATTGAAAAACAGCTTTGATCTCGTTATAAAATCCAAAATCAGGAATCCTATACAATCTATGAAACAGAGGCAGGCAAGCATCGGCCACTAGACAGCACTAACGCTCCAACAAGCTTTACTTCTCCAGGTTGTAACAGTCGTGGCATTATCATGAAGAAACATTTCAAATCACCACCGTTCACTGAAACAGAAATCCTGGGTGCTTTCACAGAATAAGAATTTCCCAGATATTTTGAAGGCTTTTGAAGAGTATCCAAATGATAGTGCCCCAAAAGAAAATCACTGAGCAGTGTCTACACAAGCCCTTGTGGTTTTGGAATGGAAGAATGAGGCTGGGTTTAAAAATTATGTTAAGTTACAGATTGTTTTACTTTGGTTTATTGAACACCATTTTGTGTACTAGGCAAAACCACTGGATCTGGCTTAAAAACCAAACTGGCTGAATGCATGAATTAGTTGTGAGTTTTCAGGGTCACGGCATCCTGGTTGGAATAAAGAAAAAAAAACGCAAAGCTTTGCAGCTGGCAGGAATTTGAGCCCAAGTCCAGAACTCTATCTTCTCTACTACACAAGTTTCATGGAACTTCCTTGATTTTGTTACTTTTTTGGGGGGGGGGGTAAAATACACATGGTTTTGTTATCAATAATAGGAACACAGATTGCCAATCTCATTTCATGGGAAGTATGCAACAGTGGAAGACAAGTCCAAACAAAGGCATAATTACAAGATGGCTATTTTCCTTCAGCAGAAAACACCAAGAGTTATAAACTTATGCATTATCAGATGCATATCACTGTATTTACAGTCAAATGACAGGATTGTAATAGAGAGGCAGAAGAAGGCAAACCATTTATCTAAGGTAATTTGGTGCCTCAAGGCTGACCAGCCAGGATCAGAACTCCAGTGAGATTTTTTTTTTTCACTCCTACTTGAATGGTCTTTGATTTACAACCAATGTTGGAAGCATTGCCAAGCAATGCAATCTTTACCTGCACTGCACCCAATTTTATGATCTGTTTTGCAACAATCATTAAAGCAAATCATTAAGTGAATCCAGCCTCCCATGCTGGCTTGTCGGAAGCCCCTTGGGAAGGTTACAAATGGTGATTGTGTAACCCTACTACTGTCAAGTCCCAAGAATGACAAGTGGAGTTATTCTGAGCAGTTTCTTTATTGCTGTTTGCTTATGGACAAAAATCTCGCAAGCGATTATCTGCATAACTGTTCAGTAAATATACTCCATGAACTGCTGGAGAGGGGTCTGTCTTTGCTCTCTTCCTGCATATCAGGCATTGCAAAGCTCTACTGTCTCTTTGCGCTCTGGAAAAGAGCCCTTTCCTCCCACAACTACATTCCATCACAAGAACACTGCAACTGTTGCAAATATATGCAAATTGCCAAGCATGTCCCCCCCCAATTATGATTGTGTGACAGCAGGGATGCCCTACAGGTTTTAAATGTGAGGACCGCAATGCCACCCAAACCAGTTGTTAAACGAAGGGTTATAGGTCAAGGCTATCTGGGTTTGTTTTCTCTCAAAATGAGCCTGGCAAGAAATGAATGGATTTGCTACTTACCAGCACAATCCCCATGTAAAGCCAAGCAAAGAAACCATAGAGGCATGTGACAGATTGGTATGAATCTCAACACAAAACTAACCCAGAAGTAAAGCAGAGAGATTTCCTCATGCAAAAGATTATTTGAGACCCAAAAAAAACCCCTCCACTTTACAATTCAAAAAAATATCAATTAAAACACCCACACACATAAACACAATAAAGTTTTCTGAGTTAGAATTCAAGCAGAAACTAATTTTAGGGTTTTCAATTGTCATCATCTTACTGGGCTTTCTTTGTGAGAAAAGCAGATGGACTGATCAGCAGAATTCATTCTAATCTTCTGTTTAAATTGCAAGCAGAACCAAAGAGCTAGAGAAGAGCAGAAAAAGCTTGCTAGGAACCACAATTATATAGTTCTGCCTTTGTCAACTGGGGCACGTTTAAAATGTGTGCACTTCAATTCTCAGAATTCTTAAACCTGCTAAGTTGAGAAACATGATACAGAACACCACTTATTTGGGATCGCCTCCACTGAATTCACTGATGTTACTTCTGAGTTGAAATAGATACCAGCCTTCACCACATTAGCAAGGACTACTGGTAATTAAGCAGTATGGGTAGTCCTTAACTTACAACCATAATGGAATCTGCTCATTATAGATGGTCGTAAAGTGGGTCACCCACAAGGCTGACCCAATTTTACACTTTTAGTGGCAGTCATTAAGCAAATGTCATGGTCGTAAAGCAGCTGCCTTGGTCATTCAGAAAGCACCATGTTCGTTAAGCAAATCACTTGTTTACTATGGGCTGGTTTTGCCAAATACCATAAGTCAATGGGTAATCTGGTGGGAGTATAAGCCTCCCCCATCCATGCAATATCTGGAAGTCAATATCACTCACCTGCCAGGAAGGAAGGAAGGAAGGAAGGAAGGAAGGAAGGAAGGAAGGAAGGAAGGAAGGAAGGAAGGAAGGAAGGAAGGAAGGAAGTCACCTGCATGACCAACCTGATTTTACACTTTTATTGGCAGTCATTAAGAAATGTTATGGTCATAAAGCAAGCTGTCTTGGTCATAATTCCAGAAGATCATTTGTTTTGAGATCCAGTTTGTTTAGCTTCTTATTGGCATTCCATGCCACAGAGGCTGGCTTCACGCAATCCTCTGAACCACATAGTAGCTGACCTTGCTTTTGCCCAGCAACTTGAGCAAGCCTGGTTTATATGGTTACATTTTGGTTCTATCTGTTTTGTGAACCAAGATGATTAGGTTAATTCAGTATATTATGTTTTCTTTAAGCATAGGTAAGCATGTCATGCAAAGCTACCCTCATCAGTATCATCCCTCTTTAAATAGATGGATTTTGCAATGTAAGTTATAATTTTTTGGTTCCGAATAAAAATGTTGACTGCCCAACTGAGTTATTACTCATCTCTTATGGCTTCCTTGCATTGAACTGCCCTTACTCCCAAGAGCTTCATCCTGTTCTCCACTTGCTTTGACTATAAGACCTGCCTTAGAATTCTATGGGGCAGCATATGTTATTGCTATTGCTAATTCACCATGAAGGGTTATTCTAATAGCGAAAAACTGGAGGAACCAATGCTATACAACATAGCAAGGAAAGCATTAAAGAATGCTTTGTAAAGCTTCTTCAAGGCTTAAGGCTTCCATGCTGCCTCTTAAATCTCCAAAACTAAAAAAAAAAAATGCCAAAAAATATCAGGTCAGCCCACTCAAGGGCTGAATTTAAGTTGCTTCTCAAAAGAGTCCTAGTGCCCCCCTTTTTCAGGAGCCCTTAAGACTGGGGCACAAGGGACAGAACATTATTCTGAGGCTATTTGCCCTAAATCTACGTCCTCTAGCTAATAAAATTAGGGTTTGTTTTTTTAAAAAGTATTCA